GCTTCAAAACACACCGAGGAGTGCACACTCGAGATATTTGGAGCGCACACTCGAGAGGAATAGGAGTGCACACTCGAGAGCTTCCCCCTCCAAAGGAAGGCCTGCAGCTACCCGTTGTTGCAAATGAAACGCCATGCTCGTGAAGTAGCAGCCCGAATGGCCGACTCCCTTCCCAGCCTATTTCAGCCTTTTGTGTGCCTTTGGCAGACTTTTCGCGGACCTTTTGTGCGAAACGCATATGGAATGTCGGCCTAGGAGGCGATTTTATCGATAGTGATTGCAATGATAAGAGCAAGCATATGCCTTGCCATCAAAGACTGTGGACCGACTTTGTAGTGGACTCACTGTAAATGCGTGACATGAGAGAAAAAAAACAGTTAAGAAAAGGCTGTCTGCGTGCAATATGCTCCTGCTATGTCACGCTACAAGAGAGTCTGTTCGGAATGTTCGGATCAGCCATAAACCTTTCGCAAGCCCTTTCCGATGCTTTCGCGCACAGCATTGTTGCTACATGCGTCCTCGAGCCTACAAGTTTCAATCATGGGTTTTTGTGGTGATCCTTATGTGTCTTTGAAGGTTAGAAATCGCTGCCACGAAGGGAAGCTAAAGACATAACTGCAAAATGCCTGCTCACTTCACTTCACTCTCTCACGCTTCTACCCAAGCTTCTCTCTCTCTGTGATCAGGCACATGAGGTCTGCTCTTGTGGGTTCTCAGGCATTGCAAATTGCAGAGCGACTTTCATGTTAGCGTCTAAGCCCACGGCATCTAACAGCTTCAGCCGTAATGCTGAACCGAGGCCTGCGAGCGAATGTGAAATTCACGCTGGATGGGTAGCAGCGGCGTGGAGGATGCAGCTCCATGGAGGCAACAGTCGTTTGATCTGCCCCTGGGCCTGCTTCCAAGAAATCACCGCGCGAGCAAATACCTGATGTGCGAGTTTATTTGGGAGGTCCCAGGCAATGCAACCAGCACAGACCAGATGTAAGCGAGTAAATTCTTTTCACCTCTGCTTCGGCTCAAATACTGTCTATGGTGTAAAGGCGCGCAAGAGATGCATCAACCTGTTCAGTCCGGCGGACTGGGACAGGGATGGAAAATTGGCTTGCCGTCTGAGTCTGTACGCGGCTTGGCCTAAAACATTAGCTTTTGGCATCATCAATCGTACCCATATCAAAAAGGCTACAGACGTCTAACTTCCTCACTTGTGAACATGTGCCCGGGCAAGGCAGAGTCGAGACTTGAACCACGCACCGCTGTTGATGAAGTGACATTTCAGCTCACCCGCTGACTTAGCTACATACTGTCCGTGGATAACTCCATCTGTTGCTTGCACGAGGCCATCTGATTTCTGCACGAGCTCAGGACTTCCATCCACCACAAACCAAACCTCATATGAGACGTCCGAGTAGCAGACTCGCAACTCCCAATCCAGTGTACACGCACCTTCGACCTTCAGAAGGGACAGCTCCTCTGTACATCGTGCCCGCACCTGGATGGTCTGGCAAGGACCTGCAAGTGCATCGGAACGATGCATTCCTCCCAGGCCTTCAGGTACTCTGTCTGCCGGGATTGTTTCAAATAGCTGCGCATGATCATTCTCACCCAAAATCTGGAACTTCTTCAGCGTGCGCTCTGGAATGAAAATTGAGAACGCCTTGAAGAGCTTCGCAAAAGCAGTGGGAAAATTCACAAAAATAGTTTTGCCCTTGGTCTCCGGATAATGATCCGCAAACACTTTCGTCACAGCAGAAACTGCATCCTTTACCTGCGATGTTTGAAAGATCAGTGGCACTCCGGAATAGTCATGGACCTGAGTCAAATCCTCCGGCTCGCCCTTCTTGAAAGAAAGTTTGGCCATTGCTTCCTCCATAAGCTTCGCACGATATCTGACAAATGCTTCAATGTCTCCGAACACTTTCTCCAAATCCATCTTTCCAAATCGGCTGATCATAACTGGTCTGCCATCAACATCGAGACCACTTATCACGTCATGGCCCTGATAGCAGTCAGGCAACACTGCCTCCTTCAGCCCGTCAATCTTGCAGTCTGCTCGGAAGACCAAAGTGTCGACAATGCGATCTGCGGCCTTGTCCAAGTTCAGTTCCTCTGCACGAATGTATTTGAGCAGGACGATGTCAGAGGCTTCAGACTCCTTCTCCAGGTCCACGCCCCAGATTGTAAGTCGCTCAGCAGCTTTGGCATCCTCCGATGCTTCTCGGGCTCTGGCCATCAAAGCCGGCACACGCCCTCGCAAGTCAAGCAGCAAAGCTCTCTCAGCATCGCCCAGCTTGTCCAAGTAACATTGAGATAAATCCACCATTCAAGTTCTTCTAAGATAGGCTGCGCGCCTCGTACAAATCCCTGCGCTTGAGCCCTTTCAGGCGCCAACAGCCCTTGCCTATGGACTTAGGACTTACTGCTACACAAGGAAGGTCGACTCAGCATGGCCGTCAAACATGAGTCCTGAAATATTTAGCTGCCTTCTCGCAGATTCCATGGATCTGGATAGGCAAGGACCAAATGATCCTGGCTTTTGTGTCCTGCCAGGAGCACACAGCCGAACGCTGATTTGAAAATGGGAAACGACTGTCCTGATTTGGGGCTGCCTGGCTCTTCGTCCGGCACATGAGATGGAGTCGGAACCTGGCATTTACAAAGACTGTGCTGGATTTCGATATGAGTGGAATGATGTGCACCAGCGTGGCTAAGGTAGCAGCGGTCGAATGAGGAGTGACTGGCTTTGACATTGTCTCCTTTGAGGGGCACAGAGCAAATCAGACTCCTAGAGCGTCCTCACGTGTGCTACCTCCGTGATGGTCTTCCAGACCTCTTGTACCAGGTCCAAGCACTTCAGGTCAGCCAGGCGGCCTGAGACCCGGCTTACAAAGCTGTCACGACCAAAGTCCAAGGACAAACGAGGCCTTCGAACTCTTTCGCCACTGCCCGAGTAATCTGCCCACGGGTCAAAAACCCAACCTGGACAACAAAGCAAGGTACTCTTTTCTGACATCTGCCATCGAATCTGCTGCACATATCTTCCTTGCTCCAACTGGCCTGGCTCCAGTCCCAGAAGTCAAACCACCTCAGTTGTGCGCTAACAAATACTTTGGGGACGCACTTCGATGACTTTGCAAGACGGATGCATCAATCCCCCCAGGCCTTCCAAGAGCTTCGGAGCTTACAGCAGCTGCCAAACCTGCAGGAATGCTAAATGATGCCAGTGTACAAGGAAACATGTATGCAATCACTACGCAACTTGAGCAAACCTGAGCTAGAGGCAGGGTCGAGGTTTCTGGCCACGATGAACAAGTTTTAAACGAGCGAGAATCCAGACCTAGCCAAGCCGAGATGGAAGGCTACGCGCACTGACTTTCCATGTGGCAGTTGCAGGCTAAGCTGCAAGCCAGAAGCCCACCTTCGCACCAAAATCTGCTTATCTCATGAGATGTACCACGTACGGGTCAGTAAAGACTGGGCTCGACATCTTTCAACAACATATGCTACACTGCAGAGGGCTAGAAGCTCGCTCAGTCCGGCTTCTGCTGGCCATGCAGCACTGGCAAATCACATAGTGGACTTTGCTGCGCGTACTTGGGTTGACACCTTCTGGATCCTGGCACAGCGCATGCTAGGTGCTAGCATCCAACGCTGGAGGTGTGCTGCAACCCACCTCGAAAGCCTTTCTTGTGATACGACCCGTACCTGCTCTGTCCAGAAGAGCAGCTGGCAACAAACCCTGAAGAGTAGTTTCCATTTCCTTCTCCAGTATACACCCTATATATTTCTCATATAATTCCCACATAAATTTGCATTCTCGTGAGTCATTGGTCAGCTGTCAGCCCTGGCCTTCTTTGTCCCACTGACGCCAGAGATCGGAGGCCGGCAGAACAGCCGGAAGAGGCGAGTCCTCCGAGTTTCAAACCGCTCTTTCAACGGCTCTTCAAAATTGTCGCCTCAATCGCAGAGAGCTGGGTTCCCGACGCTGATTTCGATGATCTCCTCATCGAGGGGAGTGTTCTGAGTGTTGTCACCTCAGACAAGCTGAGTGCAAGACAACGCTAGCTCTCTGCTAGCGTGATTCTTCCTAAGCCTCCAGCTTTCCTGCGCGACAGTTTCATTAACTCCGTCACACCGCTTACCTCCATCCTGCACCACTGTTCCTCCCGACTTGCCGCAATAAGATCTGAACGTCCTGAACATCACCCGGTTTGAGCAGGGTTTCGAGCTTCTCGCGATCAATTGGAAGCACGACAGCCTACACACGTGAGGCAAAGCGTCAAGTGATCTCGGCATGCAAATTTGCAGTCAAATCAAAGAAGAGTCTTTTAGGCTGCGGACCAAGGCCCCCAGAACCTGGCATTCGGAACAATCTATAGCAATCTTGAACAAAATGGAACGAGCGGTCAACTCGAATCATAAGCATCTCGCCTCATCAAGATCCAAATCGCCAGTGCGGTCAATATCCATGGCATCAAACCAAGCACCAGGATCTTGGCCCGACCGAAATGAGAAATGAAGGTACTTTTCCATGTCTCAAGGAAGGTGTCTGCCCCGTCGGTTCTCAGGTGCCCGCTGTGACGGATGTCAGGCATCTCCCGCACCTCGCTGAAGCTTGACCTGCCTTGGTAGCCAGCGCCCAGCGCATCAAATCCATGGCTGAACTTCTACTGGTGACGAGTGGTCTCAGCCCGCAGCACACCGGGCACTTGCGTGTTGCCAGCTGCTGAGCGCACTCCAAATGAAAGATATGCCGGCAAGCCTGGCAATTAGTTGTGGACAATGTTGAAGTAATTACTTGGACATGAAATAGCCAGCTTTGCCCAGCCCAGCTTGCCGGCTGCCAGCAAGTAAGCGAGACGCGATCCACTGCAGACCTGTTCTGAAAGAAATGTCACTGAAGGTTCAATCCACATATCAAATAGGGCCACTCTGCCTGTTCCAGGCAAATGACACACTCGTTGACTTCGCCCTGCAAGTTCGCCTCAATGCTGTCTGGCCTCACGCAGCATCATGTAGCATATGCCTGCTGCACTAGAAAAGCATTGGCCAACTGATTTCCGTGAAGCCAATGCCTGGTGTTGTCGCTGAGCATGTCAAGATGGCTCAGCGCCTGTTGTCTGTCTGTCGAACGGCATGCGAACCAAACAGAGATCTGAGTTGCCAGCATGCAGCAGCCGCACGTTGGACTCCACCTGAGCGCCATTGACAAGAGCTCCCTAATGGTCACATCATGGCTACATGCAAACGCAGGCCTGATACTGGCGATGATTTCGCATGTAATCCGCCACCCCATACCTCGTGTGTGTATGTGCGCGGCCAACAGCCAGATCAGATGATGCAGGGGCACCTCGCGTCTGACGTGTAATGGCCTGCGACCAATCAAGCGGAACAGCGACTTACAACAAAAACAGCCCTTCTAAAGCGATATTAGTCTGTTTACATGCTCTACATACTTGGAACCCTACGCTTCCGTCAACCATCTTTAATCTGCTGACACGCCTTGCATCTCAACGATGTGGGCCAAAATTTTCTCCAGGCGCTTTCTCCGCTCCTCACCCTGTGGCTGCGAAGGCTACGAAATGTCCGAAAGCTCTCGAGATGCCAAACCGGCCTGTAACTCAGCAGCTCCAAAACCTAATCGCATACCTCCGAAATGATCTGGATTGTTCAGGAAAGGCTGCGGAATATGCAGCACCAGGCAGAGCCTAGGGCAGACCCGCCATGCGTCAGTCAAGAGACAAGTGGAGCAGAGTGGAGAAACTGAGCAGAACACCCAAAAGTCTGCGTGTCTGTCAGGGAGGGGACCTCACCCAAATACCATTCTGTATCACTTGATGCGGCTCATCAGCTGAATGCCAGCAGAGTCCATCCAAGGTTGGTGCGTGAGCCCTGTGAGGCACGCTGACGTTGTACGTCATGCGGTCTCGATCCAGAGCCCAAACCTGGAGGTCGGCTGCACAAGTTAGATGCTTATCTAACACTTGCTGTGCACTTGGGTGTATGCGACTGTATGTGTGAGAAAGCATATTGTGCGAATACACTGAGGGTGGAATGGGTGGCTGAGCGCAGTTCCACTCGGACGTTGGTTATAATCAGGTGGCCAACAAGGTCCTGCAACTGGAACATGTCTTGGGGAAGCTAAGTCATTGTATTCATTATGCAGTGCTGAAAGCTGCAGCCTCTTGTGAGGCCCCAAAATTAAGAATTCCGTGATAGGTCTCGGCAACCTCCAGAGCTCCAAGCATTCAACAACAACTTCTGCTTCCCAGCAGCTTGAAAAATCAGATGCGCATGCCTCTTCGTTCGGAAGGAGAGACAGCTCAGGCTGGTTCACTCCCTTGTGGGCGAACAAGTCTCGCCTGAACTGATGACTCCGCACGGAAGAGAAACAGTGCAAAAGAGCGAAAGTGGAGGGGTGGAGGGCTGGCGGCCTGTAATCAAAACACCTGAGGCACAGGCTGTCGCAGAGCGCAGTGCAGGAAGTAGTGCGCGCAATTATAAGCCTCAAGAAAACTCTGCAATTAGCGTTAAACCTGACAAACCCACCCAGCTCGCAGGCCGGCCTTCAAGGCTTTGTCGAGGAAGCCCGCAAGAGTCTGGCACGAGTGATTGGCATTTTTTCGAATATAACGCAAGCGATGCAAACGTACCAGCCTGGTGCCAGGCTTCGTTGCCCTCAGGCCCTGACTCCTGCACCTGGCCAAGTCTCGATGACGGGCCGAACCCGCCAACATGCGCAGGCACCCAAGCCCGTTTTGGTGAAGCCTCTGGGATAGCTGTGGTGAAAGCTGGCAATGTCTCGGCTGGCTGCAGCACGCGCAGAATCATCTCGAACTGCTCACCATAGGCCTGGCTGTGAGATCCATGCTTCACGAATCAATCAGCCTTCAGGCCAACAAAGCAAGATAACTTTTCGAGCTGCTGGAACATGAAGACTGCTGTGAACAAAACAGACCCAGAAACCTGGGGTACCATGATGAAAGAATCGGGGTATGACACAGACACAACAAGAATCAGAGGCTGCAATGACCGAAGACGTGGAGCACAAAAGCCGGCTCGCATTTGAACAGAGAAAATTAGGCGAACGACTTCCAACAAGGCAACCGACCGGCCTCTCTAGCCACGATGCGAACTGCACATCCGCCAGCATCAAAGCAAACTATACCGACCTGAACAGTTTGGGACCAGTTTCCAAGGTCTCCAAATTGAGGAAGTGGGCCTCTTCAATCATACCATATCCAACTACGATGGCGCTGCCGGCCATCAGCCTGGTCCCAATATGTGATGAACATGACAAAGATGCTTAGAGCATTTGCCATGCCCATCCTGGAACGCTTCGAAGCCTTTGGCTGCGATGCTGTAGCGCTTTGAAACGACGGAGGCGCATGCCACCACCTTTTTGTCGCTTGTCGCTGCTGAAGCAAGCCCGTACACGCATTTTCGAGTACCATGAGATCTCTAAGCAGCAGGCAAGAAGAGCTCGGTCAGAACCAACACCTTGAGCTTTCACAAGAGCATGCACGCCTGCACTCCTCACCATGGGTCTCCACTACCACTATGCGGTGACCTAGCCTGAAGCTTCCCATGCAGCAATCACGCACTATGGGTTGGATGTCCGCACGGAAGAAAAAACAAATGCAATAGGAAATTCAACAAATTTGATGGGTGTCTGTCCACATGAGTTAGCCGCCTGAGTGGGGTCCGATTTAAGGAAAAGTACTACACATCAGGGGCACGACCGAAACAGCCAGGCAGGACACTTTTCGTGTAGCTGCAGTGTACAAGCTGCAGTGTACACGTAACACATGGACAATGGTTTTGCAAGCGAAATGCCTAGGCTGTTGGGTGGGCGGGTGCAAATATGTCCACGTGCTTTCACCATTCAAGCCTCGGATTTGTCAGGACAGATGATGAGCAGCTCAGCTTCCAGCACCAACTTTTGAAAACTCATCGGCCATTTGATTGTGAAATCGAATGTCCTGGCAGAGATGCAAATTGCAAAATGCTACGGATAGCTCGTTGTTTTGATGCTCTTCCACCGGCCTCCACCTCGTTGAAGCGCATGATCTCCTGCCCTGGCTGTTTAGGGATCCAATTTGAAAAGCTCGAGGGGTAATCCCCCAGGCGCCTCCTTGCTTCAAAACAGACTCCCAGACCTTCGTTCTATCCTGTCCTGACAAAGGGCTCTGGGTAGTTGAAAGCAAGCTCAAAAACAGCTTGAAAAAGTGAGTTTCAAGCGCGTGAAGCTTTCAGCGTAGACCTTCAGCAAAAGAGCCAGGAGAAGGAAGCAGAATTTGAAAAGGAGAAAAGGGAAGAAAGGGGCTTAAAGGCCGAGGCCTTGTGGTCCAAGGGCTGCTCAGGCTGCAAAACCGCCGTTCTCGAGAAACCCATGCAACAGCATCCTGGGCACAGAAGGCAGAAGAAGAGTTAGTAGTAAGATTAAAAGTGAATGATTTCTAACTAAAGGCGCAAGAATTTTGCACTCAGCTCAGCCCGTGTCCCATGGCTGCGAACAGTGCCTGCACCACTCCGTGGGAAAGACTTCAATCACTGCCGCCTCCGGCTGCTAAACGTTGCATTTCATTTTTCTTGGTGTAGTCATGTGATCGTCAGCAGTTGAAAACCTTCCCCAAACCTACAAACTTGGGGGTCTGACAATTTGTCAAATCCGGCCCCACTTGTGCACCTCGAAGACGATGGGAGATGGTCGGCCGTGTGCCGGTCTTTTCGCCGCTGGGAACTCTTGACACTATTGTCTGCCACAATTCCCCACAAATGGCCAGGCACTAGCACCTCGGGTTGCAAATGACTCTGTCCAGGACAACCATTACAGCGCTCTGGCCCTGGCTTGAAAAGGCAGTCTTGCTATGCCGCTGACCACTTCGGAATGGCCATGAAGTCACGTTCCACCAACCAGCCTTGCCGCACGACATGGGCTGCGCAACTGAGTCAGACTTGCGCATGCTTCTGCAATTGGCTGAGCGCATTGAGAGCGACGCGCAGTTGGGAACGCACAAGCTAAGTGGAAGAGCTAGCATCGGAGCCAAAACGCCAAGGAAATGCGAACAACTCAGCCCTGGCACTTGCGAGCGCTGCTCGACCTCGAGCAAGACTAGTCAGCATTAAACTTGAGCAGCAAAGATGGCTTTTGGGTTGCCTGCAGGGCTGTCTCGAAACTAATTGGACCATGCATGTGGGCATTATCGCTGCTGCTTCGGCACTTGTTGAAAATGGGGATCCTGCGACCGCAAGGACAGGTCCAGACAGCAGCAGGATCCAAAATGGATAGGCAAGGCCAACTGTGCACTCGCCGTGCATTGGCTAGATTCGGCTAGATCTACACACTACGACAGAGCTCATATGGCAGTCCAATGTGGCGCAGGGACCTGCAAGCTCCAAACCTCTGAACGCGTAGAGCCACATGGAGAAATACAATGAGAAACGCCATTGCACACTGCTTACTGCTGACGTAACCTATGACCGGCCCTCTGTCTCGGATTAATTAAGCAACTTAGTACTTCGAAGTCACCCTGGCCCATGATTGGCTCTCATCCCATGCCTGCTTGGCAGGCGAGTTGGCAAAGGGGGTCAGCACACCGACCGAGAGCGGAGACTCGATGAAAGCAAGAGACCAGCACCAAATGTCAGCAAAGGGTGGCTGAGCACAGGGCATCAGGAACAGGCTGGACAGGCGGCCATGACCTTGGCCACTAAGCTGGGCCATATTCCGTGTGTTTGCATAAGTTTCTACTTAAGATCTGATTCAAGCCAACGCATGCACTCAGAGAGGTGTGCGGCTACGAGGCTTTGAGTCGGCGACTGTTGCCGCTGCACACCCGGACGTGCCGGCTGTTGGATTCCCTGCTGGATGTCGTGGGGAGTCAGCTGGCACCCAGGGTCAGCAAAGCAGGCGTTGCTTTGACACTGTGTCGGTGGAGGGTACAAGCTACCCAGAATGGTGGGAGGTTGTTCCAGGCGCGGCGCAGTCAATTGCACCTGAGGCTGTGTTGGTGGTACTAACAGCTGCGGCACAGTGTCGGGTCCGCTGTCAAAGCCGGAGAAGGCTTCAGCATTTCGCCTGGCAATCTGAAGAATTGTCATTGTTGACACAGTTCTTCCCATCAAACCAAACGATTTTGGGGGGGGTCCAGCGTCCCACACTGTACTGCAGCAGGCCTCCGGCTGAAGTCAACAAGCGCACGTGTTGAACAGTCAACAGTAGATTTCAAGCTAACGATGCTCCAAGCATCCTGAATTCACAGAGATGCAATGAAATTTGCTTTGGCAACGCCCAATTGATTGCCGGGGCCCCGTGGCGGTGCACTCATCATGGATGGACATTTGGACTACTATGTTTGCGCTTGGCACCATCATCGATTCCCATTGCCTCTGGACATTGCAAACTACTACTCCCCAGTCCAGCTCAAGTCCATGTGCTCACCTTGCCCTGCGTTCGTCACCCAGTGATCTCGTCACTTGTGTGGCTTGAAGCTGGCTCAGACTAGTGACTAGGGAGCGGTCCTCCTGAAAGCTGGCTTCCACACCAATCTCATCCGCAAGGCCACAGAAGGTGTCAGGGCGGCTGCGCGTAAAGACCCTGCCACTTTTCCGTGAGCCGCAAGATATTATTACCCTGTTACGCAAGGGTCTCTCCTAACAAGCTTCGAACATCTCGATTTTCTTGACATGGCCCGCCTAACTGGCTCAGCATCTTTGGTAGAGCTAGCGAGTCCGCTCGCTGGATGTGGCGTAAAAGCGTAAAAGAGTACAAGGTGAAATGTGTTTTTTCGGATCTTACCGTTTTACCCTTGCTCTCCAGGGTGTGGCCGGCCGCTCTCGCCCCACGTTGCCGTGTAAATAGCGTGAAAGTGTAAAAGCGCAAAAACCGTAAAACTGCTCCTGCTCTGTAAAAGGGTACAAGATCTAAGAGTAAAACCGTTTTTGCTGCGTAAATGCGTAAAATCGTTTTTTGCTGCGTAAAAGCGTAAAAGGTAAAACTCGTTTTTTCGGATTTCACCATTTTCCCTCCAGCTGCTGGACTGTTTAGTTTTTACTGTTTTACCGTTTTTGCTTGTGAGCCCTGCGTGTCTTCTATGTTTCGTTTTTACACTTTTACCGTTTTCGCCGGGCAGCTGTGCCGGGACCCCTATACCGTCCAATAACGCTAAGCCAGCACTGTGGCCAGCAATGTTGACTTGAGCTACTGTTGGATACCATAGCTTCTTTGTGCACCCCCCTGCGCGCAGTGTGTATTTGAAAGTGCGTGTCAACAACGTTGGGCCTGCGACTGCCTGGTCCGTTGCGGCGGTTGACAGTTTTGGCTACTGCCACTGCACCATTGGTGGGCAACCTTCACCAGCACTACATGGAGTACTGCCTTAGCCAACTGTTGCTTTCCAAGGTCTCACGCAGGGCTGGCAAATCTGCATCATTCGAACGCCTTTTGGGCAATGAGCTTTGCTACTGGGGACTCAAACTGCTGACCAGCACATCAAGAATTCATCCATGCGCTTGCCCACCAACCAAACCGACATATGATTTTTGAAGGCTCTTGTTCCTGCTGGAGGAGCCTAATGCATGAGGATTCAGGTCATGTCAAGAGTCTCTGCTGACTGCCGCCATCTGCTGCTGTTAAACAATGCCGTCATGGCCTGGCAATGTCAAGCTCATGCTGAGGAAGACCAGCCTGAAAATTGCTCAAGGCTGCGTTGATCGGTGTTGGTTGAATGGAGGGGGGAGCTGCCTCCTGACCCTGACGTACTGCAGCGAGCAGCGCATATGGATTCCTGAAATATTCCAGTCAGATGGGTGCTGGGCTTTGAAAGCAGCATGAGGGATCTCAGCTTAGGTGGCTGCCCACTTGTACGCGCCAAGTGTAGCTCCTGTGCTGAGCAGGCTTGACAGCGCATGTGAGGAAGATGCACTTGCATGTCCTGACGCGCATGAAGACGCGCATTCAATGCGTCCAAATGCCTTGCGGAACATCTCTGGGCTCGTGATGGCACGTGAGCAGCCGAGATCTATGTCCCGGTCCGCTTGGCCGCAGCTAGCTCTGTGGGGCCAAGGCCTCACAAAAGCTACCCTTTCCGATAGGGAGAAAAATGTTCGAGTGCCTCCAAGCTCGGCTTGCTTGATGGCTGCCTGATGCAGGAACTTAAAGCCCAAACTTTGGGTGTTTTGAAAGGACCCGTTTGTAGGTTTGTTCGCCTGCAACCTGACGGCATCATTGCCAGCTAGAGCACCATCAAGCTGCTGCCTGCCCACGGAGGCAGAAAAGGCTTCTTGTGAGAATTGAAACTGGCTGCATAGGGCTGTGTGGCGAGCTTTGCGCCTTAGCCAGCTATGCGACTCCAGCTCTCGGAGCCGATGCCACGCCGACTCCACCTGGCCGTGAGACTAGCAACACTGCTTTCCAAAAGCAAGTCAAGTGCCCTATGTGCCCTGCGTTGCACCTCCGCACCGGTCATCCCCGCATCCTCGCTATGCAGCCGCAGAGCAGACTCTGGCACAAAAGCTCGCGACCACGTATCTATCGCGATATTCTTGAAGGTTTAGGAACTCAGCAACCGAGTTAGTGCAGTAGCTATAGACGCAGGATTTAGGCTTGACAAGCTTATGACCCCCACTTTACTGAGTCCCCCGACCCTCTGCCTAGTACATACCTGGCGCCCTCATGGGTTCCTGTTTTGGTATGGTAGGTTGTCCAGATTGCGGCCCCATGATTTCGACAAACTGCGATATCTTAGGGGTGCTAATAGTCTTCATGAGCAGCAGCTTGTCACAGACGAAGTTGAGCTCCTTTATGCTGAGGTCTGTGACCCCTGACTTTATTTCTCTAAAGCATCCCGATGAGGGTCCACGGGACGTGCTCCTCCAAAGCATGGCTCCAGCATTACATGGGCTTGCGCTTGAACCCTCTGATTCTTCAGGCCGCCTAATGGAAAGACCAAGGGAAAGGTTGTCAACACGCCGCAGATCCGAATGATTTCCTCAATGCTCACGATTAATTCACGAAAAGCAGGCGGTAGTTCCTGATTGCGGACAGCTCTCAGAATTGGAAGCTCAGATTGACCTCTAAATAAAGGGTTTCCGTTGCATGACCTGTGACATCTGTCTCAGGACTGCAGCATTCCCAAAGCGTTACCACGTTGGATGTCCTACCCTCAATGGCAACGGCACAAAGAGGCGATGCAGAATCCCTGTGCTTCCTGGCATCTCCTTACCTGCGAAATCGCTTCAAGTCCTGCCTGCTCTAGCACCACAGCCTACAAGCTAGGGCACGTCACTGAGACTTTGGTTTTGAGATGGAGGTCAGCTTACCAGAAGTACAAAACAAGTTTCTACAACCTTCTTGCCATGCATGTAAAGCTGCTTGTGCGTTCTGGGCTTCGAACTGTTGCTGCTCGGGCAGCTGCTCGCAGCCGCACAGCATCGCCAGTTTGCAGTGCCTGCAGCTGTGTAGAAGCGAGCTGCTGCTTCTAGGCTGGGCTAAACATAACCACCTAGTGATACGTGATCATGATCATGGTTCGGCAAAGATATGCGACCTAATTCCAATTGCTACCAACACTGCAACATCTTCGTCTCTGCTTGCGTAGGATCAAAGCGTTTTTTCATTGGACATCATCACATACTGGGGCTTTGCTGAAGTGATCCTGATACTGGCCCGAAGAAAGAGGAATTCCATCATGATGCAAATGTTGTCAGTATTCATTGCCCCATATTGCCCCTTAGCAGTTTTGAGCGAGAACAAGCACGCAACTGTGGAGTCCATCTTTGCAGTTGTCTCGGATGAAACGTGCTATAAAAAGCTGAGCATGGGCAGCTTTGTTGAGAATGATCACTCTTCCTGCATTACCTTGTACCACCTGTACTAGTAAGCTAGTCACCTAAACATAGACCCTAAGGTGTTCAAAGTGTTGCCGCAGGGAGGACATGCGCCAGCATGCAGCTCGAGGTAATTATGAGGGGGGTTCGGACTGGATGACTTGATCAAAGTTGGAAAGTTGCAGGCATGTTGCTCTGCAGATGCCTGGCGCAAGCAATCGCAAATCATCCAAAGCCGTCTTCCGGCTTTCGCTAAAAACGATCATTGACTGACTGAGGTTAAATTACAGATGTTCCAGCCTTGAAACGGGTTGTGAATCCTGAGTGCTGACGGCAGGTGAAACCTGCATCGCTGGGCAAAACCTGTGATTGATTTTAAGATTGCCAGCTCGACCCTCTCCTGATGCCGGCTTCTGCGCGATCCAAGCAATCAAAGTGTTCATGTACTCGAAGTGGCACGCAGGGTCTGGGGAAGGTAGATGTCTTCACAAGATCTCGTTTTCGCTCGTATGACTCGTGGAATGCACGGCAAGCCGTCCAATTCTATGCAACAGGCTAGTGGCAAGAAAGGTTTCCAAAATTTTCCAAAGCATGACAAACCTCAAAGCGTGCTGGTATATCGCCTCCGCAAGTTCGCGTCCGACGCTGGACTGCCCCAGCTTCTGCAGCTGCTTCTGTGCTCGGGCAACCTACGTACGTCACGGGGACACGTTGCAAGTTGCAAGACAGAGCTCTAGGCTGGGGCGCCAACCTCCTGCCGATTCAGCCCTGCTTGCTTTGCATCCTCGATGCATCTCCTGCTGTTCTGCACATGCGATCAAGTCCAAGAGCCTCAGAGCTTTCTTGCGGGAATGGCCTCAACAGTTCAACATCCTTCGCAGTCACTGCTGCCTGCCCCATCTTGGTGGCATCCAAACAAAATCATCATGCGGGAAGTTGTGCGGCCTCAATACTCCTTCTCACGTCAGCCTGCACAACTCTCAGGTCAACTGCAGGCCGCTCTGCAGGCTGTGCTGCTGAATCTCCCTGGCCTGCAGCTCGAGGCCTCGCAAGGCTTCTCGGGCACCTGCCAGGATGAGTTCAAGCCTGCCTGAAACCTGCAAGCAGCTGCAGAATGCTACATGCGCATGTCATGGCCTGCGAGTTCGGACTCCAACACTTCTGCTCTTTTGGCAGCGGTGATTGCTGCACGCAGCCTTGCAGGAGCGCGCACCCAATGGATTTGCTTACAAAAACTGCACACCGCTTTCTTGCGCCGGGGCAGACAAGTCCGCCATGCATGCAGCGGCATCTTTTGACATCACAGCTTCGTGCATCGCGGTGAGCCCTCAGGCTTGGTGACGGGGAGACGAGGTTGCCTCAGCGAAGCACAAAATTTGTCGTCTTTTCACTGCATATCTCCGCAGAAGGTCGGCCATCAAAGTGCATGTAAGGCAATGCTCTGCTTGGCACACCATGTTTCAACCTCAAGCAAATCTGGCGAAGGGTCCGGCTTGAAAAGCCATTGATCTTTTTGTCTTGATCTACCACTTTGTGACATCTTAAGAGAGTGCACATGTTTCGCTCAGTTCAGGAGGATGCCGTCGTACTTGGTCTGAAACCACTTCATCCCATCCTCCTTCCTCAAGCGGTGGGAGGCCCCAACCCGGCCGCGTCGCAGCTTGCGGTATTGCACGCGGCCACCAGGCCTGCGGACATGATTTAACCACATGACATGGATCTATGCTGGTAAACTGCCATGCCCAACTGTTCCCACATTCTGAAACTAGAGCAGGCCTGGAGAGATGGACGTAGAAGTCCATGCCGTAGATGCCCGTGCCGGGGTCGTATTTGATGCCCAAATCGATGTGCTCCGTGATGCCAAATCCAAAGCTGCCATTCCTGGCGAAGTTCTTCTTTCGCAGCTCATACTCCTTCACCTTCAAGCCCTTCTCGAGAATTTCCTCCGCCTTTTCGCCGCGCACCGTGACGTGACAAGCGATCTTCTCATTGCGGCGGACGCTCCACTGCCTGATCGTCATCCGAGCCTTGGAGAAAACTGGCTGCTGCTCCGTCAACTGCTCCAAGACTTTTGCAGCTCGGGTCAGGCGATCGCCACTCTCGCCAACACTGATGTTCAAGACCAACTTCTCCACTCGGATCTGGCGCATGGGATTCTCCGACTTGTCCGCCATGGCAGTGGGTCTTCACCTTCGATTTTCTCGGAGGTGTAAATCTGAGGTGTGAAACCGCTGGGAACCAAAGCGAGACGAGCAGTCAGCTATGCAAAGAGGTTTGCAGGCGCTGTTTGCTTAGCAAGCGCTGATAGCTGCGTGATCCTGGCTGCCGATTTCAACTGCGGTGCACTTGCCTCTGCAGATCCATCTGGCCACTACAAAGACCGAGCTCCCGACGTCATGATGAAGAATCCATTGCCAGCTTTTTGATGGATGCAGGCAACACTGTGCAAAAAATCATGTTTTTTACAGCTGGACTATGTCCTCGAACACCGCAACGAACCACTCGTGAACTCATCCATCACCACGTGCTACCCAGGTTCAAGTTTCAGTTGCATGGAACAAGTGCTGGGTAAGCCACCAGACATCAGCACTGGCTTCTGTAAGGATCCTGTCAACGCCAATCATGACCCAAGATCCTCGACAGCATCAGAATTGAAATCCTGCTGCTGTCGCTGCTGCAAAGTAGCGAATGAATGGGAAAAACAAACAGCACTTTTGGATGCCAAGCTTCAGGCAAAATTGCCTTCTAGCAGTCTCTACTGAGAAAGGATGAATTGACGCGTGCCAAAACTGTACATGGTCTTGATATGTCTGGATGAGAGCTTCTTCTGCTGCCTATTGCAGCTAAGAGACATACAAATTTAACTACAATAGATAGACTGTGCAGCCTGATCGGCCTCGAATTCACAAGTCTCCTCTATGCTTCGGCTTTGCGTTTACGCAGGCATTGATTGCAAGGAGGGTGGCCTTGCACAAATTGATGGCGACCTAGGGCAATGGCTGGACTATTGGACTGGGTGATGTGCATGCACACGTTACACACGTTGATGCATTGTGCCAGTTCACCCCTGACCCTGACGAAGTTGGCAATGACTCACTTCAGAATTCCAATCGACTTCTTTTCTAGGAGCGCATGGACTCACAAAAGCGCTTAGAGGGTCTGAGGTCGTGGCGTGAGACTACTCATTCTGGCGTCGGCTCACCGCAGATGCACGGAGGTGTCGAGATCGCATTGCCGTAGTGATGGCAGTGGTTGCCATTTGGCTCTGGCTGTTGGGAGGTTTGTTTGGAGAAGGCACTCTTGGCAGTGAGATGGACTGGATGGGTTGGGGTGCGGTGTGAAACATTCGGGCCTGGTCGAGTGTAGCGTGGCTGTTCTCTCCAGCACCACCACGCCCAGACTCATGGCCGGGCGAAAAAACTGCATCTGAGTCATCCGCCTGATCAATTGCAAGCAAAGCTGCGGGGATCAGAGATGAGGATGTCCTAACCAGAGGTGCTGCGGTCGAGAGCTCATAGCTCTGCGGCGTGCGCGATAATTCACTGATGTCGTCGTCATCATCACTTGTCTCATTGCAATCCCAGCAATCACTGTCATCTGTCTCTATAGTGGCCGTGGTTTGGGGGAAGGTGCTGCTGAAAGTTGTGGTTTGGGTGAAGGTGCTGCTGCCAGCGTCGTCTGTGAGGTTGTCTGGGGCTGGAGAGTGTGAGTCGAAAGTGTCTGTGTCATGAGTGTCTGAGCCGTGAGTGTCCGAATCTTCAGTGTCTGAGTCTTCAGGGTCTGTGAAATTGAACAAGTCATCGCTGGAATTCTGGTCCACCAGACCCACGTCACTCCCTGGACCAGTGGTTGGAAGAGCTATGACAGTGCTGGTGCTGGTTCTGGTGAAACTGGTCTCTGAAAATGTTGTGCTAGTGGTGGTAAGTGTTGTTGATGTTGCGGTGCCTGTGGCCGAGGTCGATGTGCCAGTTGTGGTTGTGGATGTGGAGCTTCTTGTGAGCGTCCGGGTAACCGTCGTAGTTTGGCTACTAGAGGTGGTTGAGGTAGAGGTCGTGGCTGTATGAGTCAGTGTGCTGTGCGTCACTGTGACCTTGAAGCTCAGCATGAGAAGGCGGCAAGGAATAGCAAAGAAAAACACGTGTGTGAAGACCATTGTGCAGTCAAGTAAGGGCCGGAGCAGGCAGCGTTGTTGTTGGTGGCTCTGGCGGCAGCTTCCTCGGGCACTTGGCAGGCACGAATGATGCAAACGACTCGCTTGAATTTTGAGCTGGCTGAGGCAGACTCTGGCACTCAATCTGAGCCCTAGGCACACAGATGTTATCACAGAGGGCGGGCTGCTGACAAGTCAATGCCTCACCTCCTCATGGTAGACGCTCGCGTTCAACATTCGCAAACGTTGGTCACCATGCTTTGGAGGGAAAACAAGAAAACGCAGACTCCCAGACTCCTCCAGGATTCAGCACCAGCCTGGCCGAACATTCCCCTGATGCCCTATTTTGCCCAGTCTTGCCCTCATGGTCGAATGAAAGATTTCAAACAGGACATGCGCACGAGATGACGCCAAGATATTCCAACGTGAAACACCCTTTGGGTAGCAGCGACTCATTTCTGCGCTGCAGGCATTCCTGGCAGCTCACCAGAACTCTCTGCAAGACACTCAAGCAAGGACGAGTGAGGCCCTGACACTTAAAAGCGTGCCGCCACAAACGCTGGGCACGTCAATCGTCCTGCGTTTGAAGGTGAGAGATGTCTTTTCACGTCAAGGCAAACGGCTCAGCAATCACGATCTGAACACAACCGGTCTCGTCGGCCCCCTCAATGCAGCTGATCGCGTCCACGATCGGCCTAGGCTGGAAACACCGCTCATCGGAATGGCGATGCACTTGTCCAGGCTGAGACGGCTACTGCGAGCCAAGGGGACATGGCGCATTCCCATTTTTGAAATAGACCCTCAGAGGAACGTGACACTCTCGAGACTCCCTGGTGAGAAGGGGCATGCCCGGCCTCTGTCCGATGAAATCTGCAGACAGAACGCCTGCAACAACAGTAGTTACCAAAGGCCCCGCCGAATTCAAACGAGTGACGCTCTAAGCAGCCGGCCAGCGCTTCCGGCTGGCTCCTGCAGGCCTTGATGCTTTCCCAGCTTGTTTTGATTGGGCAAGAAATTTCTGAGAGGCAGGCTTCGCGCGCTCCGCCGTGCATACTCGACCTCGCGGCTGTCCTGCACAAGTTTGTTGGTGTTGAAGCTGGCAAGGCTGAGATTTGGTCTTGCGGCTCCTGAGCCGATGGCAGAGCCTGTGCCTGTAGCTGCAGAAGAACCATGAACTTGAAGGCCACACATCCTGCGCATCGCCGCTAGATGTCTCTCTTGGTTCACATCGTAAGCATCTCTTTGTTCATGATCATCTCATAAACACTGCTCCTGGTGAGCAGGCCGCTCGCATCCCTCCGCATTGCACGTCTCGGGATTACTTGGCTTAGTCACGTATTGTGTTGGGTGGATAGGTCTCCCGCTCTTGACAGGGTCGTTGCAGGCCTATGCCTATGCTGCAGATTTATGCAATTTATGCAGGATTGATGAAGATTGAATCTCGCACCCCAGTGTCTGAGCCAAGGTTGAGGTTCATGTGGCGTGCAGAAATACATCAGCTGAGACCAAGCTCCAATCCAAGCGGAGAATGTGGAGAGGAGTGCGTCTACTTGAAGCCAATTGGCAAGCCAGCCTGTACATGTCTGCTGAATGTGCAGCTTCTTGCAGCTCTTGCGCAGCACCTGTGCAAACATCAAGCAGCTCGCGCATGAGGGAGACCGAGCGCGTCCAAGGCAGATGCCCACACGAGCACGCAGCCGTCGCAATCGCTCACGCGCAAATGAAACCTGATCTAGAGGACTAAGTGACTAAGTCCTGGCTTAGCACATGGAGAGCTTCAGCTGCAGTGGCCTCAGAAATTGTAAAACCGGCAGCATCCGCGGCAGTAAGTGCAGCTAGCAAACGCCGCTGGTCCTGCAACTACAGAGCTTCACACCTGGAAAGTGAACAATGTGAACATCAGAACAAAAGCTAACAGGCCTCACCCTGTACCGCGCGGGCCAACTCCTTCACCAAGTCAACGAGTCAGCGAGTCAGCGAGTCAACGACTACAAATGGGAGAAGACATAAGGCTTTAGGGCAGAATCCTCCGCAACCTCGGAACGGGTCTTTGCCATGGTCTCTTCGGCCTTCCAAAGGCGAAAGAGGAAGGGCTCGGAAGTGCAGAGCAGAGCAGATGCCGCGCCTCGAGCATGGACAGCGTCTTTTGGGCGATCTCAATCACCTCTGAGTTTGGCTCGATCACGGCCTTCCAGTACCATGTTGGCAGTCCTTGCTTTTTCATACCTTTCCACTGTTATCTGCGGTCCTTGGCATCCTCCATAGCAGCCGAGATAGCCTGCTTGTCTCTGGCCTCATGACTGACTCGAACGGCAAGAAACAGGTCTCAAAAGGCAAGCGTGACAACTGCAGTACACCAGTGCATGAAGTGCTGAACCTACGCCACACATACCACATACCAGTCTGCAGGTTGCCAAGTGTCTGTAGCAGCCCCCGCTCCGCCACATGCGTGAATTCCAACGGGCCTTGGTAGCCTGTGCCAATTTGTCTTGGCAACGCTGGCGTGTCTTCAGCCGAGAGTGCCTGTCGAGGTCGTGACTGCCAGAGGCATATGAGGCTCGGGAACCCTTAACCTAGGATGCAAACATCTGAAACTTGAGCGCCTTTCTTCAAAGTGCTGCCACTCCTCTGGCGGAACTCCATGGCCAGAAAGCTCCTGGAAGATACAATTATGAACAAAGCCAGCAACCAGCACTTGTGTGGAACAAGATGCAGCTTGCGACGCACTGCTTTTGCACCTGGAGCCCTTTGCCCAGGCTTTCAATGTCTTCAGCATCTGCCAGTCTTGACAGCCTGAATCATGTTCATGTCCCGAACACTGCCAGAGAATCGAATCCAATGGGAATGCAATCCAATACCGGAATTGTTTTAAGTGCTTTAGGATGTCTCGCTGCCTGGTCATGGCGTGCGTGCGCAGACAGGCACGTGCTGCTTCTAACCTCGCGAGAGGTAGATAGATTTATGTTCTCAACTTAGACATGCCAGCAAAGATCAAGCCCGCAGCTCTTGCTTCTCCTTTGGATCGTCTCCGCACATGTCGGGCACCTCATCCGCCAACTGCTTTGGAATTGAAGAGTCTAGCCGCGAATCACGTAACCTGATACATGCGTATGTTTGAGCTATGGCAGCGTGCTGGCCTTGCTCTAAGCAACCTGGAAGCTGATTGTGATATGCCATGCAGGTTGCAGAACAAGGTCACGACAGCACTAGCGACCAAGGGCGAAAAAACTGTCTGATCCATTTGCTGGGATGTTGGGCGACGTACGCGGTTCTCGAGTTTCGTTTGTTTTAGATGTTGCGAGGTTGCATTCCGTGCCTTGTTGGCCAGCGTTCTGAGCATACCACGATTTTAAAGGCCGAGTTTCCTGTGTTAGAGTGTTCTCAAAAACGAGCCGGTTCATTTCATGTTGACATTGCAGCGTTTTGCACCAGAGATGCACGGTTTCAACACGTAAAACGTTTGATTCCATGCAGATGGTCTTTCCAATATATGAACTGCACTTGACCACCCTGCAGTGTCGTTTATGCTATGTCTTCGCGTGTCTTTGGTCGGCGTATGCGGCTTTGGCATTTTCGCCTTGCGCTAAGACTTTACAGGGTTTGCATTTTGTACCTTGCTGGCCAGTGTTTTGAGCATGTCACAAATTTAACATCGAAATTAAGGTACTAGCGTATTCTCAAGGGCTTGATTAATTTGAAGGTCTGGCATTGCGGCGGCTTGCGCTGCAGCTTGTCCTGGTGCATGTCATGTGTATAAGCCAAATAACCTACCAGACCATGAATGTAACATGATGTGAGTAACCTCCCCTTCCTCACCTCCTCGAGACCCAGCAAGAGCGCCCGAAGGGATTGAGCCCTTAAAAAGCAGAAGAACCAGCGCTTTGACAAAGGCCACTGAAGCTGGCAAGAGCTAGAACAAGTTGCTTGACAGTGCTGTGCCCTAGACTAGTTTGGACAGGAGGGAGGACGGGAAAATGTGCGCCTTGTGGCTTACACAATGCTTAAGGACGAGGCTTGCCAAATCTTACCTTTCAATTCGAAATATCCATGCCATTCCAAAGTACAAGTACGCGACATGACCTGAAAAAGATTGAGTACAGTCGTGGCTTGAAACCAGCTGCAAAGCTATCTGAACCTATCTAGACTCCAGACCTGTGTTCCGCTCGCTTGCCACCTCCAAGAATTAGATCAGTTCCCTTAAGCCAAACTGCCAAGCTCACACCTCCTGCCAATATTTCCAGAATTGTGAAGTCCAGGTCATAACATGTTGGTTCGACCCCATGGTTGCACAAAGGTTCTGCCTATGTTGGGGATGTCGTCTTAGCTACCCTTTCGATTCTCTTTGGGAGGCTGCCCCCCTTGTTGGCGAGTCGATGGATAAGCCGGGAGCCTTCTCCTGGAAGCTTTGCTCAGCAGCTGTGATGGCTGCTTTCAGGCGAGGCATGTCCTGGCAGCTAAGCATCTCCAAGCACAGCATTTCATCTGCCATCTGGAAGTGCACAAGCCCAGCCTTCGCTTCTGCCGCGCGACGGAGCTCTTTGCGGACAGATTCCCTGGCCTCTGATGCCGTCGAATGAATCTGCCAACTTCCACCCTGATGCCAACTCGGGCCTGCAAGGCTCGAAGCGTCGCCCGGGCTCGCTTTACGACATCCTCTTCCAAGTGGACCTGACAAGTAGGGACCAACAAAGCCAGAAATTGTTTAGTTCAGTCTACTTCAGGCATGCCCCGGAAGAAAGATGTTGAAGCCTTGAGGGCTCCCTCAATGGCGGTGCGCAGGCGAGGGACGTCACGAACCTGCACCGAAACGTGGCACCGCAAGCTGCATCTGGCGCCAAAACCAGATACAACGAGAATCACGGAAACGCTTGGTGTGCCCATCCACGCCTGAGCTGCCTTCCGCATCTCTCGGGATGCCTATCACGTGTCGGGCTTGCTAAGTTGCGCCACATGCACTACAACGCTGCTTCCAGAATGCCTCTGAACGAGCTTTGTGAGTTCGCATCGCCTGCTTTAGTCGGGGCGCCTGGGCAGCACTATCAGCTTTCGAGACTCCGAATCCTGTCCCATTTCTTCTCCTGGCCTGCTCTGGTCCCAATCCACATCCGACGGCTGCCTGCATTGCCTAGGCTTAGCACGGCTTAACTCGAGGAATGACCATCAAACGAGGCATTTTGAGATGAACAGCGATTGAGAAAATGCCTTCCAACGTTCTTTCCAAGGTACTGCCTGCAGCTTCCAGTAGTCTCCAGACTCCACAGCATCCTGGAGCTTCCGAGTTGGATAAGTGTCTTATAACTGTCTTGTACATTCCTGAAGGCCTCCACCAAGCTCACTGCATTTTTTCGAAACTCTGCGGCCTGGTTTGATCAGACCCAGCAACAGTTGCAGAGAAGCGCAGAAGCAAAAGAAGACTTTGTCACTTTTTGTCAGGCCTCTGCTGCGAGCAAGACATCACGGGCCCATCTCACCTCTGCGTCAACTGCAAGTTTCGCGTTGCATTAAACTTCTTCAAAACGAAGGGGAGAAAGACCTGCCTCGGGGCCCTGCAGGCCAACCTTGTGCGCGTCTAGAAGCAAGGCCTGCGCGTCATGAGTTGTGCCCGGGCTCTGAAGAGGTTGAGGTCTCTGGGCCCTCCTATATAGGTGGAATTCTCTCTTTTGAGAGGCTTGGGGAGGTCTCTGGACCCTCCATGCTGCAGGTAGAACATTGTCAGAGGCTTTGGAGGGGTTGGGGGAATAGGTGTAATTCAGCGTCCCCCATGATATGGGGGACGCATATGTGCTGCAAGCATCCCATTCAGAGTGTGACTTCCAGCAGTGGCAGTATTAGTCACATTGCAAGATCTTCCATGCTTGGGGCACTCCGGCTGACAGCACAGAAACGAAACAGCAGTTTTGTGCCTGCACTTCCTCCGTACGGCCCTTGTCCACGGCGATGGACAGCCGTCTCCGGAACTGCAGGCCGCACGACACTTGCTTATACTGAAAGGCGGCCTTGGACGGTAGCCTTCTTAGTGCAGGGATCGTCGTCTTCTTCGACATACAGCTCATCACCTGACACGCTAAACTTACTGCTCTAGTCCTCTAGTCTTGTTGATTTCCAGCTGCCTTGCTGGGCCGCGCCAGGATTCTTGATTCCTTCCTTTCCAGGTGCTTACCAACTCTCCTGCAATGCTCTAGATGCCCTCGCTTTGCCTCTGGCCACGGGTAGGCAGCTGGAGGCGGTGGAGGCGGAACCCCCGCGCGCAAGGGACCTGCACGTGGTCAGGCTGCCCTTGTCACTTCAGAAGGTCTAACGAGTTTTTGCCTGGTCCAATGGCAGCTCCGTTCACAGCAAGGCGGACCTGAGCATCACAGAAAAAACTTAGAGTACAATCTACAGATTCTGACAGGGCTATCGCATGTGTGTGCGACAACCCTGCAAACCCACTTGAGAGGAAGGATTGAATGTTGTGCAGTAGGTGGCTTGGATATTACTTGGATCATTCTTTGGGTTTCAATGCCATGTTTGAGGCTTACGCTGAGCAAAGCAAGCCGAATATGACGGACAAATCTGGCAGTGAAGTATCAGAACACTCAAACAAGCTTCCTGACACAAACAAGCATCCGACATGGACTTCCTAACCCAAGTCAAGAATGCATAACCACTGCTGCTCGTGCCTTCCCATGCGCAACATTTCTCTGGAGATACCTTGGCTACAGATCAAAAAAGTGCTTGCTGATGAAAGGTTGCCAGGATCAACAAGCGTCCTGCCCGTCATCATATCGGATCGTGAGAGCTCCATCAGCTGCCACCTGCCCATGTGTAGATGCTGCGCGCAACAAGCCTCAAGCTGCCAAGCTTTTGCGAATCACTGGGAAGTAAGGTCCAGGCTTCGACAACCTGGTTGGGACAAACTTCTTGAACCAAGCTTTGCAGCGCTCGGCAGTTGCCCAGCAGACCAAAACGACTGCAAGCCTGTCCACTGTGCCATCGTCCAGGGACCCATTCGGCCTAGTACAAACTTAGAAAACTCCCGCGAAGGTGGCTAGACTCCAATGGCCTCAACGCGAGCTCCCGGCGCTATGGTGGGACCTGGAGATCAAAAGAATCTGCCATCTTCCAGCTAGCATCCAGCTTTGTTGGAGCTTGGCCGTTTGGCGCAGGAGTCGGTGATGGCGAGAAGCGAAAGTTACCTTTGAAAGGCCATGCCGACGCGCAACCTCACCCCAACTTGCTATTCCAAAGTCACCTGGCCATGGCGACGCAGCAAGCATGAGAAACCTATAGTACAATATCAACTAGCAGTTGTCTTGATCTTACGAGCGGATACAAGTGAGGGTCAACTGAGTAGTGTTTTCTTGGTTGTTGAACCTAGTAAGATTATATTCCTCATCTAAAATACTATACCCAAAAGGAGGATATAATCTTACTCTACATTGGGTACCATAGCATCCCTAAATAGAATACTTCTCAACTGAAGTTGAAATCGGTCAGTCAAGCAGTCTGTGGCCGAGTGCGTGAATGCGGCAAACATGATTCATCGATCCAAGGTGAAGCTGCGCTGCTAACAATTTGGTCAAGCTGTGGCCGGGTCACCTGGAAAATCGGCGCAGCCTGTAGTCAGGGGGCCCTGCGTCAACGGGTTTACACATGATCACGCTTGTTGAGCGAGCGTCCTCAGATCCTGTACACCCAACTAGTCTACAATATCCTGTACATGATCCATATGTTGAGTCTAGTAATGGAATCTGTGTATAGGCACACCCCTTTTTATGTGATTAGTCTTCACATTCATAGGAACTAGATTTCTTGCTGAGCTTGATTCATGGGGGTGGGGGAGCCCAGCTGGACGTATTTCAATGTTTCAACAAACTGTAACTACGTGAGTGGAGAGTTGCCACCTGACACGCAGCATTTTATTTTGGCTTTCGCAAAAACAGTTCTGCGTTCGTCTGTACACGAAGGCTGGAAAGCAAAGGAAACGTTCAAAATCCATAAATAAATCAGACGCTGCAGTGTTCGCCAACTATGCGGAGGCACAAGCGAGTATCAAGATAGCATCCTCTCAACCATGGAGACAAGATTTCGGTACCTGCAAAGCATTGGAAAGGCAAGCTCACCTTGACGCGTGGCAGAAAAACTGATAGCGCACGGCTTTTGCAACCAACTGCAGCGCATGCCCCAGACATCGTATATCCGACCTTTTCCATTGAGAATGCTGTGAAGACCTCATGCATTTTCCGTGAAACACTGAGCCAGGCACCGCAGAAAAGCACAGCCGCATAAGTCCGCCAGAACCCCTCTGGCATTTAGAGATGCCTTAGCTTGCCGGTTCGTTCCGATGTCTGCGAGTCCGCCGGTAGCTCCTTTGCTATCGAGATCGAGGAGCAACCATCAGGGACGACTTCCTCTTGTGAGACACTTCCGTCTGAACCTGTGTGCTCCAGAACAGTACAAGTGCAGACGGAGGCAGGGGTAGAATCAAGAAACCTTGCACAGTAAGGTAGCGTATGCAGGTTCTGCAGCATTGTAGAGGAGCAGCAACTGCACAAAGGTGAGTGCGAGTGGGCCTTGGAGACGTTACCAAGTTGTAGAGTCTTGAAGACGTCGGTGAGGTTGTGGGGCGCTTGGTCATCCGACGCAGCCCCATGCATCACCTTCAAGTTGCTCTGCTTGCACATGAGATTACACGAGAGGGAGTAGTTAACTGCTTTCTTCACATAGTTGACGAGAATCGGGAGAAGACAATGAGCTCGTAGCCTTGCTGGGGGGCGAGACTTCTTGGCTGGCTCTGGACGGGAAGTGCATGACCTTCCAGGGATCAAATTGCTACGCAAAACTCGTTCGACAACATCTCAGGAACCTGTGCTGTGGAGCAAGCGGAGGGCGCCTGCAGTCAACAGCAAACATTAAATACACAACAACACAGCAGTAGTGTAGCTGGCGGAGTGGTACTTCAGGATTTGCAGTAGAAGCACCCTTAACAAGGCCCCAGCCTGCGAACGAAACGTGGTCTCCGATAAAGCTCGCAAAAACCTTGGCTTGAAATGCTGTGCGGCACGTTCAGTTTGGCCAAGTGTCCTTCTCTGGGCAGGCAGCTGAGATTGCAGTTGGCTTGCAACCTCAGAATGTTTTACACATCGCGTTGCGCGACTGTCATTGCAAAGAGGAATGCACGCATTGCATAAGCGCGGAACATATAGCGGATTCAAATCAGCTTCTTGTAGCATAGTGCAGAGCTGCACGAGAACTGCCTGCAGTCACTTGGAAGCCCCACCATCATCGAAGACGTCTGCTGCGCGCACGAAGAACAAAGCAGGCTGAGACTCTTGTGTCATTGCGTCGTAAGAGCACCATGATGGTACATGGAAAAAGCTCTCAACAAGGTGTAGGTGCAGTGCAAGTTCTGAGCAGCAACCCACGTGAAAACAGTCAATGCATCTCAGGCTGTCAGTTGCATCCATGCGCGTGTGAAAGTGACGCGCGAACTTTGCCCAGCACCTCCGACATCCCATGGATCACAGCTCCAGGATTTGCTGCTGTGCAGCTCGCCATCAACTCTGCAAGACCTTACTACAACAGTTTGCGAGTGACTACTTCGAACATGAGATACATTGAGATACCGTTCAGCTTAGATCTTGGCACTCTTCGTCATGTCCCTGCCTTCGGCACTGCAGACATCTGCAAATCCGTTGCTGGATGCAATTTACCGCCGGCCTTGGCGTCTTGTCGCCCACCATGGTGTCCATAATAGCGATGTCAGCACCTGGTGCAGTGGCATCTGCAAAGTCAGCTACCAGAACCTTGCACCCCATGGCCGGTACCTTCAACATCCAGGTCAAAGGACGAGCCCATCTGGCATGAGTGCCAGGTCTGCAGGAGCACACTGGGCGTTGTTTCGCACCGTATTGCAAAGACCACTACATCAAGACATGGCAGGGCGGCACTGGATACTCCAGTACTGGGAGTATGCTTCACACCTCGGCAGAAATGAGCGCAGCCTGGGAAAGTAGACAGCAGATACTGAGAGACTGGCTTGACTCGAGTGTCACAAACTTCAATTTTGTATCCTGCGCTGTGACAATGATTTTACCGTGTTTGATCCGCAGACTTGCTGCCATGCAGTGCCCCTCACCTCTGCAAGTCGGTGTGCAAACTCGCGATCATTGATGAGAAAGAAAACAGCCTGGCAGCACAACTTTGACCTTTGGCTGCTACCTGCCTGGCATTTCCACGAACTAGCAGTATCACTCAAGTCTTTTCATTCTGAAGCAGGTACGACAAGCACTAGTGCGAGAAGCAGCTTCTAAGTCCTGTTGCTGATGCAAACATGGCAGCAAGTTCTTGGTCAAGTCCCGTCGCATTGGGAGTTTAATCTTCATGCTGAAGCTACACATGTCTGCAGAATCCTCATGGCCGGGTCGGTGAGTGCAAAAAACTTTTGTTATGCCTCACTCCAGGACTTGCATGCTATTTCGGGATGCTAAAATGAACCCGCGTGCCCAACCTGCATGCCCACGCTTCCCAGAAGTGTTGGATTGGCTGGACCAGACACAGGGTATCACAGGCAGGAAATCATTAAGCAAAAGCTAGCCTCTTCCAAACTTGAATCATATGCACTCTAATCGCCATGTGTCGCCATCGTATTAGAACGCAAGCGAGGCTCCCGCGATATGTGAATTTCTACCTGCCAGACATGGCAACTCATGTCCATGGACAAAGCCTTGCTTGTCCTTGCACCCAACACATTGGTTTAGGGAAACTTGGGGGAGAGGGACTGGGATAAAAGCTAGAGCAGGATCTAACTGGCAGAATGCAGATACGCACTCTCTCCCTCTTTAGTCCTGGGAATGAGGAAGGCTACAGGACACAAACTCGTGATTGACACAGAAATGTGTTGCACTTAAACAGCACGCGTTGCAAATGTAGGTGCACGTAGTATTTGCATGCGACTTTACCTACCCTATCTCATCTAGTGCTCTCTAATTGTCTGCTATACTCTACAACAGTAGATACAACATATACTTATGCTCAAACACAACAGGCCTTACGAAGACCAGGAAGCTTGAACGAACCTTGTCCAGGATTCATGCGATGTGTGGACCATTTTTTCTTTTGCCTGTGAGGCACTTGTGACGTGTTCTTTCACATGGTTTTAACCCTTCTTTTGATTACTATTAAGTGTTCTTTTCGTGGCGTTCTTTACCATTTTTTAGGGGTCGGAAAACGACTCCCCGGACGCAAGCCGGAAACTATCCTTGCCCTGTGTCTGGCTGAAAAAGCCGCATTTTTGACCACGCACCAGGGGTCCCGCCGCCACACACTCCTTGTTGCAAGCCAAGCCTGATAAGAAACTCAAGCTTGACCTGGAGGCTAGCTTTCGAGATTTTCGAAATCGGAGAGCAGGCGTCACAATCAGAATAGAAGCTAGAAGAAGTTGTTGTCTGAGTCGCGTGTTCTGCTTTACGAAGCGACGAAGCCTTCAATGCACATCAATGAACACGGCACCTTGCCCAGCCCGTGCAGATCTCGGACTAGTTCATGCAGCACCGAGAGGTCCTTGCGAAGGTCCTGGGCAAGATCCAGTTTCGTTGATGATGCCTCTCCGAGATGCATGTATTATGCCCAGTCCTCCGGTAGTAAAAAGATCACGGATTGAACCTCGGCAGCACAGAACCACATCAGGTTTGGTAGTCCGCTTGAGTGCCATGCATGCCTCAGGAGCCATTTTCAGAACTGCGCTTTTGCTGCATGAGCAGATTGATGAGTGGCAATCAACGGATGAGGTGTCGCCAGGCTTTCTTGTGAAGAGCGTGAACAGCATATGTAGCAACAGTGGAAAGGCGATGGGAGGCGAGTCAGCGGAAAAGTCTAAGTTCTTGAATTCTGTGCAGCGGGATTCTCGCCGTGGGCTTGCAGCTTGCATGAAATGATGGTTGCTTTAGAGAGGTGAGGTAGGCCGCTTTAACATTGCTTCTGCTAAATGCTAACAGGTCTTGGCTGTGGCGGTTTGGCGGTTGCTCGCTCCTCGGCCATTCTTCTTATCTCAAAGAGGAACCGAATAGGCGGAGAGTTCTTAACTCCAAGGCAGCTTGAGGTGTTTAGAGGCTGGTTTCAGGGTTGTTCACTCAAAGGCCTGAAGGCTTCTGCATGAAGGCCTGGGATTTTGCTACTCAAAAGCTGTCTTGCCGAACTGTTCTTTGCCACAATCAGGTTGGGGAGATTGTAGTCTTGAAGAGAGCTGGCTGCTGTTACATCATTGCGTGGTTCCTGTCGGCCTAAGCTGATTTCTTGCTCATGCACCTGGATCTGCTATGAGAATTGGCTGTTGATGCACTGGGGACTGGCATGTGAGCTTCACAACCTCGCAAGATGACTGAAGCATGGCCAATCACATCGGCAGTGCGCAACGACTCGTACCTCGCATAAACACCGCCATGTCTCCCCTGCGCGAGGTGAAGCCCGAGACGCCCTGAACCAACAAAGCTTATCCTGAAACAACCTGAGAAAACACAAACGTAATGCAGGGCACATGGGCGATAACGGTTACTCTACCACTGGTTACAATCCATAACAGCCAACACACTTGGGCAGCATAACCTTAAAGTGATGGCTGGTCTCGACAAAACGGAGACCTGACTATGCTGATGATGACTGTCTATGTGCAAAGGTGGGGGCTGGGTCGGCCTGCACCGCTAGGCCGGCTCTTGAGTAGCCTTCATTAGAGCAGGTGCTGCTAGCATCTGCCACCAGCCGGAAAATGAGGCTGAGATAGCCGAAGCCATTGCGTGCCTTCTGTGGACATCATGCGCCCTTGCGCAAACTCAAAGGCAACCCGAATGACGACAAATAAACCGAGGCTTGCCAGCTCACTCTTTCAAATGAAGCTGATCATAATGTGGGTTTATTACCATTTCTGTGGAAGGGAGCCCGGTCGCTGGTACAAGTCTTTCCTGTGACCAGCAGTTTTGAAAAAAATGGTCGCAAAGTTGCGAACATTGCGCGCTACAAAGAAGCTCCAAGGGAGATCATCACTGGCAGAACCTCCTGCCTGTCGCAAGCCTATGTCGCACGCAAGCCCGCAACAAGCACCATGTTCGTGACTTGCCGCCATATGCCGTGAATTCGTCCTCCATCTCGAACATCGAAGTTCTTTTGCATCCTACACATAATCTACTGCTTCGTATCCTTGCGATTCCAAGAACTGTCATTGTTGTAGGCCGATGTCACTTGCATGTGCTCCAGCTTACGGGCCGGCTCCACAACATCTGCAGGCATGCAGACTGAGATTTGCGCTGCTGCAAGCTGCACCATGACGTCAAACGAGCGGCACAGGCAGTTGGCTTTCGCCCCTGCAAGGACAACTGCCACGTTATGCCAATATGCCATGTGGCAGACTCGTGCTCAATCACCCCATCTTGATGCCATCTGGGCCGCATAGATTGGAAAAAATCGTCTGGCAAGCTTGCACGCTGAGTCCAAGCCTTGGCAAATTTCCAGAGGAATGAGTGCAGATCAACGTGTGCTCATTACTCAGGTGAGGCGGATCCGAGTGACTGACGGAACGGTCATGTCGACACTTAAATCACTAGCCTCGTGAGCTGTCAATGCACGGTGCAGGTGCAGGCTCATGCTTGAGACAACAGCATCCATGCTCAGCCTCTTTGACAGCAACACTGTGCAGCTAGCGAAAATTCTGCCCCAAGACTGCAATCGTGTGATCTATGTATACATCAGTCTGCCACAAATCCCGTGCAACCTCAGGCATTTCGGGGGTTTCTGTAAGTAACACGAGCACCTACAACTCTATCTTGCCGCTGAGCCTGCTCCCTGCCGTTACGATGAGGAGCCAGCGGGTCCTGTGATCATCGGTGGCAGATGTCCGTGGAAAGCCATTAGGTATTGACGAGGACACAGTTTCAAGAGTCAAGCGTTCATGCAAGACTTGACAGCTTCTTTGGCCAATCCTGTTGCATGTGCAAGAGGGTCTCACGGGCTGCTAGGCACAACAGGCACAGATGGCAAACTGGCAACGCCCAGGCACTCGCAGTCATAAGCAGAAACCGATTTGCAGCATGACCAGTTGCGGTGCATAGAAGGGAATGGGGATTTCTCAAAGACGGAAGCAGAGGCTGATGACACCATTCCTTTAGTGTGAACAGCCTTGCGGCACGTTTCCAGCGCGCCCTGTTCGAAAGTTCTTCAAGCATGACCAGCTTTGCACGCTCCACCACACGATGAGGCCTAACTTCAGCACAGCGTCACCAAAAGCCTGCATCCCGTCTCCCGGCATACGGCGGCACCAGAAGGAGAAGCAGCGCACGGCAGTGTTTCAGACCCCGGAAATTACAGTACCCAGAGTGATACTTGAGTAACAGCAGAGGTAGCGATGACAACCATAAAGCGAGGTAAGGGAGAAACTGGCCAAAAGAATGTCAAAACTGTGTGTGCGTGTGTTACAGGGACTAGAACATGATGAATGACGAGATGAATGCTGGCGGGGATCCTTCGAGTTTTAGGATTCGGGCACTGTCCGAAGCTACCATGATGTTCAATTGTTCAGCCTTGTGTTGCACAGCAAGTGTTCTGGGATGTGGGCACACAAGGCTTGCGTATGCTTGCGTGTTGTCCTACCATCAGCCAAATGCCGGCAACATGCTGTTGATGTACTGTAAGTGGCATATATGGCAAGGCTGCGGAACGATCTTTCGGCGATCGAGTGGCACAAAATTCATCTTCGGGGACGGAGACCCATAAACGATTTGAGAGCCAGCGGCTGAAACAAAAGCCGAGCGTTCGGAACCCCTTTGGGTCTACACCCCGCTCGAGACCAGGATCTAAAGGACTGCCTTGCAGATGCAAAACCCGCCCTGCCCTCCTTTTCGGAAGCATGCATCAGCACGGGCTTCCCGGAAAGAACCCCAAGAGCGGGCATGGGCGCTTCCAGAGACAGGCCTCCCTGGCCCCCCCAAAAAAAACCTTTCCCTGCTACAGTCTAGCCCAGAATTTATGCATTGTTTGGCAGGCCCCCGCCAAACCTCCAAGCTTCCCAGCCATACACAGTTCGGGCAAATGATTGAAGCTTCCTCTCACCCAAAATTGCAGAAGTCCATCCCCAAGTGCATCCACTCGCCAAAGCATCCATCTCGTTACATCCGTGCATGAAAGGTGAAGCAGCAGACACAGAAATGCTGGCGGCATTTCTTCACCAGTATCCGGATAAAACTCACTCCAGTCAGGAAGCAAAAGACTTGCGTCGGACAAAAACAGCTGCAAAGACACAGCAACGGAGTGACCTCAATGACAGTGTACGGATTGACCTCTATGAAAGGATGCAGCCCAACAAACCGCTCAAGACAGAGCACCGAAATTTTGACGACGAGTCCAGAAAGACGTAGAAACGAAAGGTATAACCACAGAGGCCAGCGTGCGGGCAGACAACTCCCGCAGATGGAGCAGGCTCGGCAGTAGATGGCAGAGGCCCAGGCAGCGGCAACGCCTTCCTTCATCAACTCGGTGACGAGGTTGGCACAATTGGCGGTCTCGTCTGCTATTCAGTTGTACTTTTGATTTGTCCCGGTGCAACTACATATCATATATCGGTCTACGTTAGGAATAGGGGCCACCAAAGCTAACAACAAAGCATCAGCACCGCAGAATGACCAGACCTCAACCAATCCTTCCGTCTTACCGCGCCATGTCTGTCCACATGCCCTCCGAGGTATGACTCTCTGTGTTGGACTCCCCTTCTGACGTTTCTTCAACTACTGTATGCCTGCAAGGTGTTATTGGTGGTACATGTAGCTGCTGGCTGTAGTGCTGTTGCGCATGTGTGTGTGTGTCATGTCAACACGCAACTCCCCAGCATTTGAGGATTCAGCCGCGTGCAGCGGAGTAAGACGATTTTTCTTACACTTCCCATGGCCTCTACATCTATGGGCAACTCCAGGCCTTCCGAGAGGTGAATGTGTGGGCGTGGATGCCCCAGGAAGGCCCCTGAATCCCATTCCATGTTGGATCTTTGGGCTGGCTGCTTTCTGAAGGCTCGACAATCTTGAGATAATCTTGAGGGGTTCCATTCTATGTGCTGTGAAACCCCTGCAGGTGGTAAATTCCCCAATCGCTTCAGGCTTCAACAAAACAAAAAAAGTGTCGTCATTCGTTGATCATCGCACAGCACCAGCAAAACAGCTTGCAGATGCAACGTCCGTCGGAGGTCGAATGGCAGCAGCGAGCAGAGATCCCTGCAGAATCCAGCTCCCCTGCAAAGGCACAGCGGCCCAGGATGGCACAGTCTTGCAGCAAAAGAGTGCAGCGCACCTTAAGGATGATGTTCCCCGAGGATCTGAGGTCCTCATGTTCTCTCTCCTACCCGCAATGAAACCTTCGATGACATTTTGCAGCCAGGCATCTGCTGATGTGCAATCTACGGTGCACTTCCGGATCTCAGGACAGGCAACTTGAGCGTGTGCAAGCCAAGGTCATGTCATCGTAGCAGCATGTAGCAGCACAGCCCACCCACAAGCCTCTGAAGAAGTACCACCCAGCGAGGTGTCGAGGAGGGTGTCCTTCAAACGGTGTTTCAAGACACGTTTCAAAGCAAACACGAGCGTTCAGCCTCTGCTGTCTTCAAAATCCGCATGTCGCAAGGAGCACATTCTCCACTCTTGAGGTAAAGTATGTCGCCGGGCACCTCAAACAGCGTGAAGGAGATTTGCGATTCAGCCACACCCAAAGAAACCCAACGCAGCCACCACAGCTTCCAAGCCAAGGAAGACAGCTGGAGGCAAGCAAAGCCCCGAACAGCGTGGCATGTCTGGACATTTTGATTTCTGACTTGTGCTGGAGGCAGGCACCAGTTCTGGAATGTCGGCGCTGGTGAAGTCTGCGTTTCGGAGCACCTGCTCGCATGATGTCACGTACACTTATCAAGTATAAGATGCGAAGAAGTTGGTCATAAAAGCAAACGCCCAAGCCAGGGCCTCATATCTGGGAACGAAAAAAGAACGGGCATCTGGCCTTGCGAAGCTGGAAGAAGTTTCTGCAGAAAGTGCAAGGCGCAGAAAATGGCTGCTTCAGGGCCCGGCCACCAACTCCGGTTGTACGGAAATCCGGAGCCCTGAGACCAAGTCGGCCGACACAACAGAATCAAGAGAAGTCAAGCCGGTCTCCGAGGCTTTTGCGTCGCCCATGCATGACGCAAAGATTGGGCGGAGGGATGACCTCAATCCCAACTGACGATGATTCCAGGCATTTTAGATCTCTCAGCTGATGCTCCTGCCTCCTAACGCGCTGCTGAGCAGCACCTGTCAAAACATGCGGTCAATAGCATGCAGCACTCATGGAGTGCTAAGAGCATCTTCTGGCCTGCAAGGCGCTGGAATATCCGCATGCTGAAAAAGCCTGTCAAAGCCTTCCACGTGCGCCAGGCTCAGAACCGCGAGGCTCAGCTTGCTCCGCTTGCACGGTAGCCGCTAGGCGCTTTACAAGATTCAATGGCCTTGTCAGCCTTGGGCTTGTCAAGGTCTATGCCAAGCCGGCGACACAATGCAGGGAGCTCTGCTGTGTGCTCCTTCGCTGCGGTACTGGGGCACAGGTAGGAAAGCACGGGAAGCTTCAGCGACTCTCTTGCTGGGCCTCATATCTGCCTTCTTCCAGGGCAGCTCTATCCTCCAAAAAACTAGCAGAACAGAGCAAAAACAAATATCAGTTGCCTTAGAAGTGGTGTCCTGCAGCAGCTTGTCGCAGGCTTTGAACAGCAGCTGCGCGGTGGCCTCAGAACATCAGACCACTTCTGGCCTTCCATTGCTGTCAACAGCGCCAACACATGAGCTGCCGGACATCCTGCCGTGAAAAACGACGTCTGTTGTCCACTAGTTGCTGTCTCTCCTGCAGATTGAATGCTTCTGCACGCATCTGCAGAATGCATGATAGTTGGCACCTTTTCTTGCTGTGTGACGTGTTGCTTGTACTCCATACAAAGCCTGGGACACACAGCTCTCACACACGGCCCGACACTAATGCTGCATAGGAAAGCTGGGTGCAGGAACTGCTCCAACATGCCATTGGCTGATGCGCTGAAATCATGACCTCCGGCTCCGCCTGTCCACCATACCAGTGTGTCGTGGATCGTGCTTAGCCAGTCGTCAACAGGCCTACACCACCCACGACTCGACATGATATTGTCTGCAAGAGTCGGATGAATAGGCTCTTGTTGTTGTTGTGCTGCAGTTATATTGACGTTTTGACGCGAACCAGACTCAGCATGCTTCCCGCGTGATATTTGAGACCATCACTCCCGTTTGTGGCATCATTGCGTGCGAAACACTGTTTTCATGGCCTGTGCGGCATTTCGAGACCTCGACAACTTCCTCAGCAATGTCCCCAAAACTTGATGTTACTGCGACACGCAGACAACTGCAGGTCCTGTTGGTTCCATTTTCGGGTCTGAGGACTTAGTGGTTTCAGGTTGCCTCGAGGAAATTGTCCGCACTCGAACATAGTCGTAACTATGGTTTGGGCATGGATGCTATGGTGAGCAGATGCACTCAAAGAAGGGCATAGTTCTGATCTGACTTTGGTGAGCCTCTGTGCTGAGGAGGACCTGGGCGCAGCCTTGGACCTTGATATTTGGAACTCGCAGCTGGTGAGAAACGTAAAGCGACTCCTGACGAACCCTCCCATCCGTACAACAAGACATCATGCGCTGTGCTGCGCTAGGCAGCTAGTGTGACAAATGCAAATTATCCCCATGCATTCCTCTCATCCGCCACTAGATACTACGAAGCATCTCAGACGAACACATACATTGTCATACATCTCCCAATGTTGCAGTAGCTGAACGGATTCTTTCAAGCATTTGCGCTGAAGGCGTGTGGAAGCATGAGGCTGATGATCCCACGTTTTCGTTGTGAAACGCCCACACGCGCAGAAGCGAACACCATCATGAGCACGCAAAGATGCTTCTCGTTGATGGCCTTTGGCTCGATGTATTTTGAGCTATTCAGCAATGCTGGGCCCTCCTGCTCTTACTCCTTGCATCCTGTCAGCTGAAAGGATGCTGAGACAAGATGAGGTCCAAAATGACATGTTGGCGCTTCTTCCGAGATCTGTCGAATAGGCTCGTGTTCCACGCAAGATACATCTCCTTAACTCCCAAAGGCATGTTGGTCTTCCATTCGCTGCCGTGCCTTGGGCGGAAGCGCCGGTCATGCCGACTAGGGATAAAAATTTTCCGACAATGCGTGGGTGTACCGTGTAAGCACATATAGGCCTGCGCTGTAGTTTGAACTGCGTTGCCGCGTATTGCCCTGCCTTAAGGCAGCTTGAGCCAGCACAGCACAAGCACAGCAACAATGGCCAGAGACTGCTTGTCAGCCAAGATTGCATACGCTCACCGGACAAAAAGGATCAGTAATGTTGGCGCAGGAGCAGGAAGAGGAGGAAAAGGAGCAGGAGCAGAGGAACACTCGTAGTACCCCGGAGGCGCAAGTGGTAAGAACCACCCACCTGTGTTGCATGCCCAATCGTCCACGTGTTTGTGAAACAGGAAAACTGAGACAATCCATACCATTGTCCCAAGAGACTTCCAAATATCTGCTTCGAAGGTACTCAGATGGATTCTGGCTGCACATTGCCAGGAAGCTGGCTGTAGAAGTCTTGGATCACTCCCTGATCCTCTTCAAGCCCTCGTACCTATTCGGACCGGGCTCATAAGGAGGAAATGGCGTTGCCAGGATGACCTTCACAATGCGGTCATGAGTCCCCAACCCCAACATGAGAACAGTCTGAGGCAGTGACTTTGATAGCGTCCTGGAGCTCGCCGGGCACGACGACAACATCCTTGCCATGCCAGCCAACGCAGCAGGCTGCACGCTTGCTTTTTGGTGGCTGTTTATCTGCGATGCTCCGTTCAAACTTTCCGCTGCAGCTTTTCTGCACGCTTGTGCTTGCATCAGTCCTGGACCAAGATAGTCTTGGCCAACTCTTCCTTTGCCTGCGCAGGACGCAGCCTTAAACAGCAAATAAATTTGACGGGCATTTGCAGTTGGCCTCAAGGGTCTTGTACACATAAACCTCCATTAGCAGCATATTCGGGTCAGACGGCACTGTTCGAACAGCCTTCTCAGGCCTCAATGCCCTCTTCCTGCTCAGTGATATCACTGTCAATCAAAATCTTGCCTGATCTGGCAGCCTGCAAGTTGAAGCTTCTTGCTCACCCGCACTCCTAGCTACGAATGTACCCAACCTCGTTGTAGTTGTCCCGGTCCACGACATCAAACTTGAAGAATCCCTCTGCGTTTGGATCCGTAGTCCAGTGGATGAAGTACTTTCCGCCAAACGGGTTCTTGGCAAAATGAAGCATCCCAAATTGCAGGAAGCCAGCACAGCAAACGTTGAGGCTGTAGCAGCTTCCAGTTCCTGGACGAAGCGTTGTGTGACCGCCTGGTCCCATGTTGTCTGACAACATGTCCCTGCCATCTGGCATGAAGATCAGCAACAAGCCTGAATATACAGCCTCATTCTATCGTATGGCTCTGCTTTCCAGGACTGAACCTGTGCGCAGCATCTGTGACACCATCTAAACAAAGCTGCTGCTACAATGGGAAGGCGCCTGCAGATCATAAATGAACTTGTCCTTGCCTTGTGCCATGCGAGGTGTGGCCAACACTTTGCCGCATTCAAGCTTGTGTCCGAAACTGAGGTAAGTTGTCTTTGAATGCGCTGTCATTGCATGGTCATTTCATTCCTGACAGCCCCGCCGACTGAACTGATAAAGGCTCAGCAGCTCACTTGGTTTCGGCGGCACTGGAGGGAGGACGTTCGGCTTCTGGCACATGCAACAAGACATCCAACGACTCTGGCAACATGTCTGAGCCAGCCTCCGCAAACACAGGTGCCGAGACTCCTGCAGGTTCCGAAAACCGGACCACAGGTCTTTCTGACACACCTATGTTGCTACCTGCAAAAACTGCAGCCGTCAGCGCCGCGGCTGCAAAAGTGACGCCACCTGCTTTCGTTCAAAAGGCCGGGCGTCGGCATCGTCTTTGCAAACTTCAGTTGCATGCCAGGCCACGTCGGCTAGCGGTGTCCTCTGAAGCTTCCTGCATCCTGGCCAGCATTTAACAGCATCTTGCTTGCTGCACTTTTGGTCTGTAGTCCTGGCAGGATTCCTGGACAGTGCCGCTATCCGGCTGTCCTGCCCAAGACAAGCAACTTTTGTTTCGTTGCTCTTGGGAATAATATGGAACAATCCTATCAGGAACTTCCGCTCTAAGCACATCGATCACAGATTCTCTGAGGACAAAGGCAAGGGAAAGCAACGGTAGTCAGAGGAAGAAGGGAGAAGATGATCGCCAAGGAGACCATTAAAGAGATCCAGCCTGCAGGACTGGTCGCTTTGGGCAGCCACCAGTCCAAGCGTGCGGACACCTGCATTTAGCCGGGTCGAAGTATGCTAGACAGCGTGCAGCAATCCAAAACCAGCAAAGGTAACCTTCTGGGAACCCAAACATCCTGGAGCCAGAAGCAGCCCGACTCGCTGAAACATACGGTAGGACAAATGAAGCGCTCGTAGGCTCGCAGGCTTTATGAGACGGGCTGCATGACTACAGTGGAACACACTCAGCTCGTGAGAGCACAGCCTCAATGTATGATCCAAACCTCGCCTGCAGGACAACCTTATACAAAGCTTTAGCGTAAAGAACACACAGCAGATGCAGGACTGCAGCACATCAAGAAGCCTGGCCTACTGAAAGCGACGACCACGCCGGTAAGAAGACAAACACTCAAAACCTGAGTTGCCACTGACAGTCACAGCAGCTTGTTGCAGTCTGTTGTCACATGGTTGCGCTAGGCTCTACACCGATTTCATGCGAGGCACATGCCTCTTCCCACAGGGTGCACCCGGTCTCACCAGAGCAAGTGCACGACCAGCCTCGTTCGACCCAGAGCACCCAGCGCAGAAAATTCCTCAGACAGGAACGTGGCAGCAAGGTCAGAAGTCGATTTTGGAACCGCCAAGCCCGCTGCCCGGGTCCTGACCATGCCCCTGAAGAAGCGCCTGCGGCAAAGAGAAGACTTTTGGCCCATAAAACACCTTGAGCGGAGCAAGGATGCCTGGGATTCTTGTGGCTCTGATTCTAGAAAAATGACTAGGCAAAGCAGCTTTGAACAGCAGCTTCGATTTGCACGGATATGCCAACCGTGTCATGGCTTGCATGGCAAGACCTCGCAAAATGCAATGTGAATCCACTCTTACAAACTGCCTCGCGCATCGACTGCACGCTCGCTCTTGAGAGGGTTACCATCTTTTTCAATCAAAGGTCGGACAGCGTTCCCGTCCTGGTCTTTCTAACTTAATCATGGAGCTCGGCAGGCTTCCATTAGTGGGCTAATGTATCGCTTGGTACAACACGTATCTTGCCATCTTGAGGCTGGAAGCGATCTTCCAAGCGTTGTCGGCCACTCAGCTTCCGGGATCAGGCTCCTGCTTCAGTGCAGTTGCAGATGAAATGTAGATGCAGGCTTGGTGCAAGCAGGGTGCAGGCAGTGCCCAAGTACATTTCCCTTTAAATGCTGGGCGGGCAATCGTCCTGAGGTGACTGGCACTTTGCGCCGTGTCACTCAGCAAGAAAGAAGCTGGCAACAATGTCTTTCGACATTGGGAACCGCGCGTTGTGCCATGCTGACTCCTTACCTACACACCTGACCCCAAGCAAAAGCACTGCGTGCTCAAACTGTCGCAAGGATCTCTGCGTCATCGTCTGCCTCAGAAGCACTGAAAGCACAGCTAAACTCATCGTGCTCGAGCAGGCCCATCCCTGGCCTTTAGTGGCGCTTTTGTCTTTCCACATAGGCAGAACCGCTTGCGGCCCTTGCCCTCCAAGGTGTGCGACAATCGAAGCAAGCACAGCTCTGACTGACGAACAAATACTCATGTCAGCATCTATGAAGCGAGCTTCTCTTCTTGCTGCAGTCCCTGCCGGCTACCCTGGTCTGCCAGCCCCTGTAGGCCCGATCGTGCTTTTGCCCACTTTTTTGTGCTTTCTCTGCTCCGAGTTTTGGTTGCAGGCGGATGGTGACAGCTGCTAGTGTCTAACCAGAGTCTAAGGGACATGAGGCATCGCTGTGTTAGTGAGATAAGTGTATCACGCACCCTCTCGGCTTTGAGGGGATACACGGGGCATGACTCGCGCTTACATCCCTCCTGCTTGCTATCACGCTCTCAGACAGATGGTTGTTGGTGCTTCAACATGTTTGGAGCTTTGCAAGGAAAGCCCAATAAAACATCACATTCACTCGTCTCATAAGAACCGTCAAAGTAAAGCTGACTCACCTCCTCACTTCCTAGATGGTGTCGAATCAATCCAGACAAAACCCATGCCTGCGCAGGAACCTGCGCAGACTGCTTCGGCTCCTTCGACTCCTTGCCGTTTTGACGCACGGTTGATTTCTGTGCAGGGCTTCTGCTGTCAACAGTCCTTCTGGCTCCGGACGACTGCGTTGTCTACGAGAGTCTTGTCAGGATTTGGAGCTTGCTGCGATTTTGTCCCCTGTCCAGGCTTTCACCGTGCCCGACTTTGCAGTGCCCCCCCGGAAGTACGCACCTTATCCAAGTTCACCACAGTTCCGCGAAAAAACCTGGAAGCGTCCGAGCTCAGATATGGAGTTGATGAAGGAACAGGCTGGCCTGACAGTCTCCTGCAGCTGCATAGCCTTGCGAGGCCTACACGAGTCGGCCCGTTCCCGTTCGCCACTTATGCTCGTTTTGGAAATCATCAGGCAACTGCCTCGGCTCGGTGTCGAAATTCACCAGCAACGATGCTCTGGAAAGAGAAGCCTCGGAGAGCAATAGCAACTGGTCTAAGTGCGAAGTGCCAATGTAGGGGAGGAAACAGAACGCCGATGAAGATTTTCGTCGATGGCATATCGAGCCCCACCTCTGACTCAGGATATGTGTGGATGCTTGCTGTACGCCCCAAGCTGCCACCATGCTTCCTAACAGTCAAGAGCCCGACTCTGGAACCAGTGGTTTCCGCAAAGCTTCCGGTTGGCCCCGTTGAGCAAGGCAACCTGCTCTGACCCAAAGCATCTTGGCCATTGCGATATGATCAGCTGGCAGGCGTGTGGCTGTAAAGGCCCCAGCCTTCAAAGGTCTGGACTTGCCAGAGCCCGCGGCCAGTTCATGGGCCAGCCTCAGTCTTGCTGCGCAAGCTCCCTTCCACCAAACAAAAAGTCAGTCCAAGCTGCTGCAAGGAGTCAACATTCCGCCTCAAGTGCAGGATCTCCTTCAGCTCAGGACCTTTGGGGCAGCATGCCACCTGTTAGTCCATCCATGCACGCAAGGAGTTTCTTAGGCAGAAGCAACTCTTTGCCCTATCTGCAGCTGCCTGAGTCAGGTGCAGACAGTTTTTGAAAATTCTGCACGCAACTGCACACAAAATGTCTGCTGCACCTGGCCTGCACAAAGCAGTTGTGGTTGTCAACACTTTCTCGGTTGACACACACGAGGCCTCAGCGCCAAAAAGCAGAAACACACTTTGAATCTTAGATTTGCACATGATGAACCATAAGGGCTAAGGGCAGAGATGTACGCGAGTGCGCGTTTCCGCTGGCTTGGCCGCCTTTCTGGAGCTGAACAGGGAACAGCACTCACTCCCAGTGCTCATGACAAACATCTAACCAAGACAAGTGAGCAAAACCGCAGGATTTTTCAGATGACTTCGCGCCTTGACAGGCTTGGACCTTCCATCAGAGGGATAGCAACTGCAAGCTGGACTAATTGCAGTTTGAGCCTCGGTAAGCATATGTCAACAATGGCATTCATGAGCTCGTCCTCAAAAAGCAGATGCAAGCTTGTGGCTCAGGTGCAACTAAGTACATCTTCATAGAGATGAGTCGACTGCAGCGATTCTTCGCTTCAGCCTTCGCATGCTGCTGGCATCCTGGCGCAAGCCACGTTAATCCAAAGTTGCATGCAGTGAGGTGGACTGCAGGAAGCTCCTCATATCGATCATCGTTCAGATGCAAGTGTCTCAGGAAGGCACCCATGCCTCGGCGACAGTGCATCCGAGCCTTGCGGATGTAGATCTCTCTTGGAGCACTGCCGAACGGAAAGAGAATGACGTCTTCCACCTTCCCGGCAGTTATCAGGCCAGCTTCGGGTATTGGCTCGTGTCGAGAATTAAACTAAGGATTCCATCGAAATGATTACAAAACACATTCTGAAAACATTATCACCATACTTCGGTGGCTTTCATGAAACCAGACAACCCAAAGTTCTAAGAAAAAAGAGGGTGGGTGGAGGGGGCACGGCCCCTGGAAACATGATATAATTGAGGTAAACATTTGCAGAGGCTAGGGGCGTCTCATGGTCACAGCTGCACATTCATGCAGCGAGCATGTGGGGTCCTTTGCCAGCATCCCTACAGTTTCAGCTGTACCCTTCACATGCCGCCTGGTGGGTCCCATGAGATCCCCTGAGGTTGTGTGGTCAAGACCCAAGTTGCTGCAGCTCATGGATGGAAGAATGTATGCATGGGTTTGTGTCTAATGGTCGCATCGACCGACCACTAACCTACCACAATGCAAGTCAGCTCATGCAATCAGGACTGAGTAAGCAGTATCAGAGATCATAAAGCTCGCGAAGGTTCTGGCGCGGCTTCATGCCGAAAATTTGCAAATGTCGTCACGCTTTTCTCAGAGCTTTCCGTACACAATTGTAACCCATGAACCAAGAAACCAGACATGGGCAAAGCCCCAACTCTCCCCAACTCTACCTAACATACCGCATAGCGTGCACTGCACAGCACAAAAATGCAGCGGCACTTTTTGATGCTGGTGGGAATCGCCTGAATCGGCGGGGGGTCCGCAGACGCCCCAAATCCCGGGGCCGGAGGGGCGCATCTGCTCCCCTCCGACCCAGGATGGGCGTAGGGACCCACCCCATAGTCAGAAGAACGCCTAAGTAGGCGGATGATGATTTGAAATAAACCGCCTGGGCAGGGCGGGTGGGACAAAAGCGGTTTGAGCAATCAGGCTGCGGTGCGCGCCCGATTGCTCCATGTTCCAATGCACACAAGTGTGCTAACAAACATACCGCATAGCGTGCACTGCACAACACAAAAATGCAGCGGCACTTTTTGATGCGCGTGGGAATCGCCTGAATCGGCGGGGGGTCCGCAGACGCCCCAAATCCCGGGGCCGGAGGGGCGCATCTGCTCCCCGTCCGGCGCCCCTTCCCCGCATCGCGCCGGCACCGGAAAATTAGTAATTAAAGGGAGCTCAAGTCAGAAGCCGCCCTGTGGACCGCGTACTCAAGGTCGTCCGCGGCCCAGGCGAGGATGTCGAGGATGGCCTCCAGGTTTGTGTCCGCCTGTGTCCAGCCATGGCGTACTGCCAGGGTGCAGTCGGCCCGGATATAGGGTCGGCGATGTTCGCCTCGGAGGTGACCCGAAAGAAGGTTGGCCGCCAAGATTGGCGGGCCGCCATCGCCCAGAAGGCGGATAGGAGGCCGTTGACGGAGGCGTCGCGGCCGTAGCCTTTGTTGAGCGCCCATTGGCCTGCTGCGTTGTCGATGAACGCCACCCAGTCCTCTGGAAGGTAGGCGGAGAGGGTGACGACCGCCAGGATCTGGGCGAGCACCTCGAGCATATAGATGTACGCCCTGCGGGTGTCAAATTTGCGGATGAACCAATCCGGTATGGACCCGGAGTCATACCAAGTCATGTCGCCAACTCTGACGACGTAGCCCCATCCGTTGGACGCCCTGTGTGAGCGGTCCATCCCAGCTTTGCGTCTAAGCTTGCCCTCAAGGAAGAAGGCGTAGATAACGCAGCTGACCGCCCTGGGGGCTACGAACGGTATGAGCCTGGGTGGAACCTGCTGCAGTAGAGCTCTGGTCGCGAGCAGGGCCGTGCGCAGTCCAGGCGTGAGGTCTTTCCTGTCGCCGGCATGGGCGCTCGCCCGGGCGTATGTGGGCGAGATGGCTGCTCGGCCCACCTTGCCGAAGATGGACTGGTTGACGAAGTTCAGTTTGCCCGCCAAACGGTGGGCTGTCTCGGGAGTGAGGCGGTCTTGCTCCAGGATCTGGTGGATGATCGCCAAGATTTTGGCGAGGCGTTTTGCCATAGGCTCCAGAGTGGCGCCCTCGTCGGAAAGGGAGACCTGGACTCCCTGGATCACGTGGGATCGCCCAGGCTCCTGGGCTTTGGACTGCTTGGTGCGGAGGCCCATGAGCTGAAAGAAGTCGGCGAAACCAGTGAAGGCGGAGTCGGCGGAGGTCATTGAAGACGATGAAGGAGCACTCGTGTGAGGAATTGAAGGGCGTCCCGGGGCAGTGGCGGCGGCCTCGCCAAGCCCAAGGGCTCTGGGGCTGACTGGCGGAGGGGCCTTTCAAGGGGAGGAGGCGCCGCCTTCGAAAAAGCAGGCGGGTGGCCGCTTCCGAGCAGGGCTCGGCATGGGCCTTTTGACCACAGGGTCCTCTTCCGCCCCTGTGGGGGCGATTTTATTGGCCCGGGTCGGGCGGCCTCTCAAGTGCTTCTTGGACGCCCATCTGAGGCGTATCCACCAAGGTGGTAGTAGGCGCTGCTGCAGGCAAAGAGGAAGAAATAGTGCCGCCTCCGCCTGCAGCGCCATCGCCCATAAACTGGGCGGTGTCGATCAACTTGGTGGACGCCAAGAAGGCGTCCAGAGACGTCATGCTGCCCGCGGCGGGCGGCCAGATGGGCTCCTGGGTGGCGTGGCTCGCGGTGGGCGAGGCCGTCGCCCCGGTGAATGTGTAAGTCGAGGAGACCGCATCGAGGTTGTTGATGTTCGCCCCATATGGGGCGGTCATCTGGTTGGCCTGATTGTCCGCCGGATCCAGGCGGAAGGCCGTGCTCAAACTCGCCCCTGCGGGGCCGCTGTCGCCTTCATCATCCGAAGGCAGGGGCGTGGGAGTCTGCCCAACCGCCTGACGAAGGCGGCGGAAGGGCTCCCGGCCCATGTAGGCGAGGGCGCCCCTGAGGGTCGCCTCATCCAAGGCCGCCAGGCGGCGTAGATCAGCGGCCGCCGCTGCATGGTTGTCCAAAGCTGCCATAGCTCTTGCTAAAGGCGGTTAACAGCTAGGGGCACACAAAAGCGGTTTGAGCAATCAGGCTGCGGTGCGCGCCCGATTGCTCCATGTTCCAACGCACACAAGTGTGCTAACAAACAAACAAACAAACTAGCCGCATAATGCCTATACTATCGCCAACAGCACCATCATGAGCAGGAGCATCGTCAGTCATCAAAATCACCATCACAATCTCAAGCCTACCATCCTGGTCATGCCTGTCATGCATGTCGTGATCAACGTTATTCTCGTGCCAACTCCATCGGCTTCGTGGTCGTCGTCAGCATCATCGTCGTTGACATCACCGTCAGCTTGATGATCGCCAGAAACATTATAGCCATTGCGATCGTTACTACCATCATATTTCCATAGCGGCGGTTATTATCAGTACTGCCATGATTTTTCCGCATGCGATCATTCTTTCCTCGAAGCCTTCCTCCTACACGCCTGCATTGGTCGCTACTTGAACTATGTCTCTTCACACATTCAAATTGGACGCCCCGCAAAAGCCTTGAGATGCTTCATGGCAATGAGCACGTTGCGCCAAAGGCGGCGAAGATCTTTGATGTATAGATCCTCAGGTGAACCAGGTGACTGAGACGACAATAAGATGTGTTTTTCATATACCGCTCCGGACATGGATGCTGGACGCTGGGCGGCCTCGTTTAACCGGCGCGTGGGCCGCAGAAGCCGCTCCTTCCAGCAGCACCTCCCAAATTAAATGTGAGGATTCTTTTCTTCAAGCTGCCGTGTTCCTAAGGATCGTTGTACCCTCAAAAAAAGGAAAAACTGCGATCTGGTAGCCCTTAGGGGTGCGAGTGCCACAAGATGGAGCAAGGCGCGACTCTCTGAACAAATATAGGGTCCATTTCGCGCTGCAAGAATCTAAGCATGTCTACCCATCCTGCGGGCGACTATGCTATCTCTTGCAACATGTTGCCTGGAAGCGGTGGAAGCAGTCGATCGCGCTGATTCTGTCCTGAAACAACTGCTGAACGAAGGCTCCGGATCTGAGGTTGCATACTCCGAGCTCAATCCATACTCTGGAGTCGCAATGCGTTCCCTGAGATTGGAATCAAGCCTGGCCTCACCGTAAATTGCTAGACCCCGTTTTCAAGGCGGGTCCTCATGGGGCTGGAGGAGTCATCCTCCTGCGCCGCATGGTCTATGGTAATGAAACCCGTGCATCACTCCATCCAAGCTACGTGGGATCCTCGTCCACCGAATATGCCAGGAAGTCGTCTGCTTGAGCGCTCTCGCCTTGGCAGCATGCCCCGCTCTGTTCAATTCAATGCTTTGTAGCTGCCCCGACATATCGCAAGGGCACATATCCTATCTTAAGGCTCAGACCAATGTTTGGCGCAGCAGCATGCAACACCCAGAACCAACCTTGACGCACCAGAACAAGGCTCCGAATGTTGGCCATGCCATCCGCTGGGACACAAGCCGTCGAAGCCCTGACAGCTTCAAATTTACGCTTTCTGTGGACGGCGAATGGCTCTTGAGTGATCTCATGCTATTTCATCACCGGTAAAAAACAATGCCTTGGGTCCATCACAATCCAGCGCTGTCTGTTGAGAGAGACCATTCTTCAAATCCTGAAGCTGAAAGATATCATTATAAGGCAAGGCAGATAAGTCTTCGGCTCCAGCCTGAGGCCGCAAGACTTCTCCGAATGCCGAGTCATAATCAGCCATGGCCGGCACAGCCACCATCTGGTATTTTCCCAGCAAATAGTGATCCTGCAAACAAGCAGAACCCTGCGCCATTCCAGCTCTGGGTCATACCTGTCCTGCCGACGTGCCACAAAACCCTCGGCTGCTTCGGCCGACGTCTCTGCAAATGTCTCCTCAGATGGCATGCGTCTGGCGAACGTCGAAACAAACGTGTGAGCAGGACTCCACAAATGGTTTGCAAGCGTTATACTGGTGTAAAGCTGACTGCAGCTCCAAGCATACCAGAAGGCTGCATGTGCTGTGAGAACATACCCCCCTTTAGGAAGATCGGTGGGTAGTGGGGGGTGCCCCGGACATTTGCGCAGGCTCATTTTGTGTCAAACATACACATAGGGGATGTTGGACAACTCTCACACATGTCACACAAAACAGAGAATGATGACCATTCTTTTTGCTACAGCCCAACGGGGATCATCTGGAGACTCCAAAAACAGGTGGGGCAGACAGTCAGGGCATATTCGCCTTCCATACCCTCTCCCTCACTCAAAAAGGCCATGTCTGCTACGGGTGGGGGGTGGTGGGGGGTGATGTGGAGTGGTGAGGTGTAGCAACTGGCTGCGCGGTCAGGGGGCCATCTGCCCCGCCCAACCCCCCCCAGTCTCCCCCCAACGTTGCCACTCTTCACACAAACACCTTGCTTTGCAAAATCTTCCCCAACTTGCCAACGCGCGCTGGCGCTTACAATTATGACGGGGGGAACTGATAAAGCTGTCGGCCTCGTCGTTGAAGAGATGGGCCATTGACCTTAGATCATCAGCAGGACACTTGTGCATGCTGTCTTCTGCTATGCACGTAGAGTCAGTGGCATTGGAATACTTGGCGGCAGGCATCTGCTTCTTTGGACCCGGCCTCACACTCGCTCACACTCTCTCCAAACTCCCCACATTGATGTCACCGAAGTCAATGTTAAATGGATGCCCGGACCATTGCAAATAAGAACAAGACGGCAGGCTAGCCCCGCTCGTGCCGGAAACCTGGATTCCACGCTTACACTGTTGGTCAGCGCCGCACAAGCAGCGCTTCAAGTTAATTTGCTACAACCGAGGCGGAAGCCTCCTGCAGAAGTCTTGATGCCAAGGTTTCAAAAGTGCTCCAATAGTTCAGGTCCTGCGCAGCGAGACAGCCAAAAAAGAACAGGAAAGCTCACGATGATCCTTTTTCCGCTTTTTTCAGAATTGTCGTGCTCATGTGCCTCCTTTTGTCCCAGCTGCTTGAGGACGTTCTGCTTGGTGACATCTCGTACCTTGCACTGAGCGGAGGTGCACAAGACATCGTAAGCCAGGGATCATGGGCAGGGACATGCCGTGCAAGCATGCTAGCTTGCTGTCGTCTTGGCAGAATGGTGCCTTGAAGCGGATCGAGTCGGGCACAGATGGCATTGAGTCGTTTCGCTGTGCCTAGCCACAACATCACGGCGGCACAGCATGGCAGCGTACACGAATTACCAGAAATGCGTCATGCTATGAACCGACTCCAGGGCAGTTGCATAGTCAGCAAAGCCAAGCAGCGGTGGCTCAAGAGGATCTCCCTTGCAGGGCAGGCAGATTTCACGCGACGCGCTTCAAACTGAATCGTCCGCAAGCAGAACAGCATATATTTTGGTTCATGCAAGCCAGTAGGCTTCGCAAGCAGCCCAAGATGTTATGTGTGCACCTTTGCTGGCCACAACCCATTTTTTCAAGTCGAAATCAAGCAGACCATAATCGGGCTGTTCAATTTTCATATGACTACTGCCCAAATCACATCTGCCTCCACAGCTGCCCTGGCTTCGTGGTAATCCTGCTTGACCTTGACAGAGTCACAAAGCAGAAGCGTATGCAGCAACACAGCTGCAGACACTTCCCTTCTCTCCCCAAAGCATGGCCATGCCTTCCATCGTGTGGCACTACCTCTGGCCACAGCGCCAATTTTGGCTGCTGCAGCCTGCACAGCGGAGAGCTTTCCTTTGAGGTCTGTAAGCCATCGTTGCATTTGTCGGACCTCTTGCTCCTCCGTGTACTTTCGCTCGTCTACTGCCCCTGTCAACTCTGTCTTTTGGGATCCGTGCATCTCAGAGGTGCGGGGCAGGTCAGCCTCTGAGGCTACGGATAGGAGGTGCAGCCTCCACTGGCTTCGCCGCATCCTGAAGGTGAGCAGCTCTAAATAATCAACTTTGTTTAGGCCATCCACCTGGAAATGCTTGCAAACCCAAAGTATGGCAAAACTTACATCCACCATCATCCACCAGAAGACATGCTGAACTTGTAAGGGCTTCACGTGGGTCACGTGAGCAGGAGAACCTGGCAGCAATTTTCGGCGAGTTGAGGCACCCCAAACATCGTTCTGCAGCCTGGCTCTGACGGGAATTCGACCCTCGCTTTGCCAACCTTGCCGCCCATGGTAACGCACCTTTCCAAGAACGAGCATGTTTGTAGCATGGTAGCAAGATCCTACCAAACCGAATCATCCCTGATGCGTGTAATCCGGGATCGTTTGAATGGCGTGCTAGACTGAACGGCTAAACGCTATGGCTTCACACACTGGAGTGCTGCTTGCACCCGACAGTCCAACAAGCTGGCCTGGTGCTGCCACTTGACGTAGAGGATGGACGCCAAACATGGAGAATGCCAGATATCCCTTTCAGCTTTAAGCTGGCTTTGCGTTCTTACAAAACTGGCTAAGGACATAACACATCACCATCGAATGGATCAGTCGAACTGCGTTGGTAGCTGGAGCATTCAATCCATGCAAAGCTTATCTGTCATCTGGTGTCTAAGGGTGTGCCATGCTGGCGGAGACTTCCAACATAATCTGCTTCTCTTGAAGACATGGCTTTGCATCGTGCATCATTCAACTGCAAGGGCTGATTTCGGTCAAGGCAACACCAATGCTTCGCAGCTCACAGTTCACACAGAAAGCAACACCTGTGAGGAAGTCCCAGCAGCCTGCACGTGGCAAGGGAATCTGCCAAAACTCAGTCGCATTGCAGATTTGTGGCACCTTCGCCGCTTGCAATTGGGCCAGCAATTGCGCGACATCGACTCCGGAAGCCACGGCTTCCTCAAGACACGCGATTGTGCCTGCTTCTACAATCTACAAGTACTTTACCAGATGGAAAAGAAGAGACACAGAAAATCCCAGAACGAAAGCAAAAGCACCAAAGACAATTACAAGTCTACTGCAAATTTCTGACATCACAAGAAATCTGGCCTGGAGCTGTGATGCTAGAGCATCCATGCCAGCTGGTTGGGGGCTGCTTGGCGAAGCCTCGTTGCCCTTGCCAAGGTTTGATGAGGCAGCTCAGCCAGATACTGCAAAATACAGCCCAAAGTATGCCAGCCTGCTCTGGCACGGACGCTTCAGCCTCCCATGACAGACGTACCAGAGGTCTGCAATAATGATTCATTAGACTCAAAAGACTGCACCTGGCTGCTTCCATTTGGAACCGCACCTCAGCTTTTTTCTCAAATGTTAGGCTGCAGGCAGTGTTGTCCACAAGGCCGGCACTGTCACCAGGCTCTGATGCATCAGGTGCTGTTGGAGAATTTTTGGGGCTCTTGCCTTGGGGCACTGTGAGCAGCGACCACGCAGGAGAAGTGCAACTCTCATGTCTCTCAAAAAGCACGACATTGTCACGACAAATGTCACAGCGCAAGCTCAGTAAGGCAGGCTCCCCCAGGTTTTGAAGGTTCTGAAGCAGCTGCTTTGGCACCACCTAAACACAGGAGGATCTGGTCTAAGTCCAACTGTTCCACAGCCATGCAAACAGCCTTTGGAGCGACTGCTGCTTGCTGACCTTGTTCTGCTGTTACTTCTCCTTGGCAAGAGTCGGCCGTGAGCGAAACTATTCTGAAGTGGCCAGAGGCTGGGTTGTGCGCTCCCTTCCCTTGCGAGGCTCCGGCCTTACAGCACTTAAGTATTGCTGCGCAATTTTGAAGCACTGATTATTCTGAGGGCCAAGCTTCGGTTGACTTGCTGATCGCCCTCGGGGATCAACCTATGCGAGGAACTGCTGAAATTATGACACGACATGAAGCCTCGAGCAACACTCCCACATACTCCCACGAAACCTCCGGGGCGTCGTCAGCCTCCTGTAGAGATGACACTCCAACTCTGGACGGTATTGAACGCAGCCTTCCCGTCCTCAACCTCCCACAGCGGGCAAACGGGGCCGTCGCCGAGACAGGCCGCCAGGACGTGCTGGGCAGTCAGTCTTGTGGAGTCTCGACCACTACAGGCTCTCAGATAGTTGGCTGGCTTCAGTTCGCGAACTCTGGGGTAGCCCTGAAACTCTCAAAAACATATTTAAGCATCAACATCGCAACATCGCAATTGCGACAAGGGTCACAAGTGAGGTGTCAAAGAGCTCTTCACTTTATCAGTTGGCACCTGCATTCGTTGATGCGGGCTTAGGTGCATTCGATTGAGCTTTGGTGGTTGCTCAAAGGCCGCAAATTTCTGCTGCACTTCGGGACTTTGGGGAGGCTTGGACTTCGAGGGGGCTCGGATAGTTCGGTACCCTTGCTGTTAACCTGAGATTTACCTTGTCAATTTGCACCGACTGTGCAAGGCAAGGTCCTATAGACTAGTCCGTGGACAACATGGTTATAGCATGTGGGTTGCGGCTTAAAGGCTCATCACCCGTCAAATTAACAAGTCTTTGTTTGTGTTGGTCTCCCACAGTTGCCGTAGCATCATGACGTCAGAATGTGAATCCATCAAGCTGTGTCTGTGGCATGTCCGTCTTTTCAGGAGTGAAAGGCAAATTTCGTTACAACCTGAACCGTCAAAATCCCCGACATCGTGCGCATGCTGTCATCCTGCGGCCAAGGAGGTTTAAGGCATGCGGAGCCACCTCACATGCCAGATGAGTGGCTGCACAGCGCTGTAGATGCCTGCGAGCAATAGCAAAATGTCTCACGATGAGCAAGCGAGCAAGCGAGCAAGCAAGCAGAAACGTTGTGCGGGTTTCATGGGGGGCTTTGTAATGGCATCCGCATAAGTTCTTGGAGCCGTGAAGAACGATGCGCTTGAGAAGGCCTCATCTGGAAGGCGTGTGGAGGTGGCATTAATCCCAGAACGCACCTGCTCGAGTGCTGCTGCAAAAATGCCATGCGAAGCCCTCTGAAATCTTGAAATTATCACATCTTTGCATGTTCAGCCTTGGAAGAAGTTCCTTGGCTTCGTCCGAGTTCGATATTTCCTGCTTCTCCACCTGCTTCAGGATTCGAAAGCCTCCCTTCATGTCTTGCGGCCAGCTTGCAAAGGCGCCTCTGCCTCAAGCATTGGCACCGTTGCATCTAAGAGAGTCGCAATCGGATGCAAGTGGACCTGCAGAGGAAATTGCTTGGTATTGTTCTGTCTCTTGCACAAGAAGTGGCTAAAGTAGTCAGACCAGCACAGTTGCCTCGACATGTTGCTGCCATCTCTGAGTGTCTTTGCCACTGTTGCCATCCTGCTCCAATTCAAAATGGAGCACTGAGATCTAGCTGACGTAAAAATGCCCTTCCTTTTCCAAGTCAATGTTGCATTGGATTTGTGGCACCTCGGGTATTTGAGTGACCACATAGTCTGGTGCCAAATAAAGGACCCTGCCATGGACACCAGATCTCGGAAGATGGCCTCGCAGAGTGACGTAGAGTCTCACATTCAAGTGGCACAGGCCACTGTTTCACACAGGGCCTGTCTAGTCATCAAGCCGTAAGCCAAGTTCGCGTTGCTGCCATACCTGTACCTGATATCACTCACCTTGCTGTAGTGCTGCTAGCAGCGATTTGAACGCTCTCTGAAATCAAGGTGGTCACTGGAGAACATTGTCAAAGGCCTCGGAAGGCGGACCACTGATGTGTTCTGTATTGATTTTGTTGCCTAGGCTTCGCGTCGCCGAGCCGTGCACTTCCAGCAGTATTGGCAAGTGGCTTGCGAAGCCCAACCTGGCCACATTCCGCAGAGCGCAAGTGCAACGACGCCAACAAATCAAAAGCGACCTCTCGCGGGATAGTTGGAGTGATTTCACGCAACGCTCGAACAACGAAAACCTGAGACTCGGTCCAACTCGAAACACTGACCCTGATGAATGTCGGGAAGAGCCACATGTTGAGCTAGGCACAGACGCGAAGTCGTTTCTATGCAAAGGCCATCGGCGAAGGTTGACACGTTGGCCAAAGTGAAGAGGCTCATCTGGCAAGCTGCCGCAAGTCTAGAAATTGCCAGGGCCATCTCTCATAAGAATAATCGCCTGCACGATGTTTTCGTGAACTTTGCTGACCTTTTGCTTACCAAGCTACACGACACGCAACCTTTTTTTGTATATTGTGCATGCTGGCCTTGCATTTTGCGAGGTTTTCGTTCGCCTGGACACAATAAGCACTGAAGAAAAACACAAGCATGCTCCAGAATGGCCTGAGCAAGCGCCGCTAAGGCCACGAAGTCAGCCGCAGTGCCCTGGAGCGAACTGAGGTTGCAAAAACAGTGCTGCACATGCCCGCGTCTCAAACAGAGCTGCATTGACTCTTCAAGTTAGAAAGTTTTAAAACTATATGCCGTTGATTTGGTGCCATGGTGTTCTTGTGACCTGTGCTGAATTCGCATGAACGTGGTCTGAGGACAGCCAGATTCTTTTGACAGATTCATCCCCGCGACGTTACACACCGCGCAGGCAAGACTCCATCCAAGTGCTTTGATATCAGAAAGTGGCCCGAGCTTGGGTGGTAGCTCAGAAATGCGGATCGGTTCAGGAACAGCTGTTGGTCTCATTCTAAGTTATCAGTTATCCTTACCCTGCAAGCTGTTGACACCTGGGCCCAACTGAACCCCACCTCACAGTCTTTAACCCCATAGAGAAACAAACGCTTTAAAACAATTAGTGCCGGTGAAAACCCCAAACAGCATGGATGGAAAACATGCGATGAAAACATATGAAAATTATGGTTGGCTGTCGCGCTTATCCCATTAGAATGAGAAATTACAGAAAACATATACGGCATATACATATGACTCATATGACATATGAATTATTGGGGTCTGGTTGGTTTCATTTTCTGGGCTTCGATTCGGCAAGCTTGAACATAATGGACAGATGGTCTGATTCTTGCATCGCTGGATCTCAATTTGACGGCCTTTGGCAAAGAATATCAACGCTCAAAGACACCATTGCAGCTCCAGGCACTTTGAGTTTCCCAAGGGGCGGGGTTGGTTTTAAGGGGTCATGGTGTAGGGTTCAAGGGTTCGGGTGGATAGATTTGATCCCATGCTTTAACCTGGCAAAGCTTATGGAGTTAGGCGGACAAGGATGGAAGCATTTTAACCCCACCCTGGGCTGGCAAGTTTAGAGCTTGGGCGTGGGGTTGAGAGGTTTGGGCTTTGGGTTTGTCCCGGGTTCATGCCAGCCCACAGCTCCGAACCGCCTACCACCCAGCCAACGGCGGATCCAGCCGCCACGGGCTCAACACAACTCCCAGCCACGCGCCGCCCATCCAGCCGCTGCAGGCTCACCGCCAGCTGCGCCGAGCCGCGCGCAGCCGGTCCAGCCGCGGTCCGCGCTGCATGCCGCCCATCCAGCCGTTCTCCTTTTCTTCTGAGGAAAGGTCTCCCAAAATTTCCTGCTTGGGGAAAACAGCTCTGTTAGCCCTCCCGTAAGAAATCGTCTACTACGACTCAAAACAGAACTCCATGGAACTCCCTACAAAGACCGTTTTCCGCGTTTAACTGCTGGCTCAGCAGACCACCGAAAGTCCCGGAAACCCGCATGATTTGGTGAGGATGTTTTTGCGATTTAACCCAGATCAAACAAACGTGTTGCCCTGTGTTCTTCGCCATCCCACCGCGGGCCCACCGCTCCAAGCCGTGCGCTGCCCATCCAGCCGCTGCGTTCCCTTTTTCTTCCGCAAGCCCACCACGGGCCCACGCAGGCTCACGGATTCGCGCAATTCATCCAGCCGAGAGGTTCTTCTTTTCTTCCGCGCGCCCACTGCGGGCCCAGGCGGGCCCACAAATCCGCCCCGCGTGCAGCATATCCAGACGCCGCGTTCTCCCTTTTTTTCTGAGGAGAGGACCCCCCATGCTTCCTGTTTGGGGAACGAGGCTCGCACATGTTTTGCCGCCAGTTTGTCGAGCTAGGCATAAGAGGTGGGCCTTGTGAAGGTACATCGCCGCAGCGCCCCACAGCACATGTCATGTGCAAACTCTACCAAGCCTTGACTTTGTTCTAGGCCGGCCTGATTCACCAGGCCTTGGAATCCATGGAATAACTTCTGGAAGCTGGCCATGGCATATAGCCGGGCACCGGGAATTGGCTCGTGTCACAGAGCTTTTGGAAAGGCGGCTCCTTTCTGGGCCAGTTGTGGAGCCAGGCCGCGGATTGGCTGACGCTGGACGCCGACTAGTGGAGCTCGTGATAAGCCGCGGTCCAAGTTGCCAAGGCGCCCACGGCCAATGTAACTGCAGCTGATCTTCACGGGCTCTTGAAAAGCCACTTCCTCACAGTCATGAAGCCCTCTACCTCACCTCTTCTTGAGGCTCGCAAGTGGCTCTTTCAGCTCCAATTGGTTGACAGTTTGGGGACCTGGTCACCTGAAGCTGATGGCGGCCAAAAGTACTCCAGTCCGAAGGCCCAACTATTGAAGACCGCTTGACAAATCTTAAAACAAGCGGAGACAACAGCCAGAAACCCTGGCTCCAAGAGATCCGGGAGTTTTCGAAATTCAGCTTTCAATGGGTTTTACAAGCTAGCACAGTGACAGTAGCAGGCGTGGTCGCTCGCCATGCCTGTCTTGAGATTTTTTTGCTCCTTGTTGTCCCTCAAGGAGTATAAGGAATAAGAGCAGCAAAACAATCAAGCGCAGCCGCTTGCCCTGGATGTTTGCGCCGCCAGCACGGCTCCGGAGCGTTGGCCAGCTCGAGGTCGCCTTCAGTGGCACCAACCCGGCCTGACCCTGCAGGAACTCCAAAACCTGCCTGAGCACGCGGGCAGCTGCTTGAGCAGGTTTTGTCCGGCTCCGGCCACCAGAACGCCAAGTCCAGCCCGAGGGGATCTCTTGAACTCCTGGTTGCTGGCTCGACCTTGACCTCCACTCGGGCAGCTGTGGCTTCTGGGACAGGCGCCTTTGGCACAGCTGCTACAGCTGTGGGCAGCTGCTGCAGAGCTCAACTCCTTGGCTGCGTCAGCCACCTCACACGTTCTCGCAGCACGCCCACCTGCATGCAACTCCTGCTGGCGCTGCTGCTCGAGGGCCCTGCCCTTTAGCTGTAGCTCATCTACTTGTCCTGCTATACTTGCCGCGCCTGCTCTAGGTGCGCTTCCTTGCGGTCTTGGCAAGCCGCTAGCATCTGAAAGAATTCCACGTTCTGCGAGGAGCTCCGCCTACAAGCCCTCGATCCCGCTCAGAGCTGTCTGCCATTTTTTCAGAAGGCAGCATCCCAACATTGCACCTGCAAAAAAAGGGGCTCGGCAGCCGCAGCGCCGTGGCTGCGTTTCCATGCAGATTAGACGCCCACGTGGTCACACCACCACCAAACCAGCGCAAGGCAGCTAAGGCTCCAGCTGCTGCCGTTGGTCCACCAGCACTAACATGGAGAAGAGTGCAGTCTGGTGCCCGCTGGTGCCCGAACGGCTGGTTGACAGGAGCACGCAGGTGGTATGCGGAGCAGGCTGATTCAACGGCTTTCATGGGTTCGACGTGATCACCTTCTTCTTGAAGCTGGCTAAGCGAGATGCCGCTGGTGCACAGCCCCAAGCTTAGTGGCTAGTAGAACTTAGGCCGATGCCTCCGTTGCAGGGCGCTTTGGCCTTGGCGCAGATGTGTTCCTGGAGCGCTGTTCAGGTGCCTTTGGAAGGGCTTCTTGCCACCTTCCCAACATGCGTCAAGCTTGCAAAATCATCTGCAGCAGCGGAGAACTCCAGTGGTCCAGAAGGTCTGCTTCGCAATAACCCAAATAGGCATATTCTTCCCGACTGGCCACTCCAACACGTTCCAGCACGCTCTTGTCTCCCTTGCTCAGCTCGTGACTGACTGCAGCTGATTATTAGGACGGACGCCAAGCCATTGCTGCACATGAGCTAAGCAAAACTTCAAGTCTGGGAGCCATGGTGCCGCGCACACATGCCTCCATCAATGCAACAGCACATGACCCGACCGAAACAAACCGCCCATATGCAAAGTCGAGTTGGAAAAGCGCAACCCGCCTCGAAATCGGGCATGCTCTCTGGCAAGCTACCATCGAAATCCTGCAGTAGGTTCTAATCTTGCCGTCACAAGTATATCAAATATGAACGGCGGATGCAGCAAATCAAATGGCCTCATCCAGCTCGACGCACACCTCGCGGTACCTTCCAGGCAATACTCAACACGCACATGAAGATTCACCCATTTCCAGCTCTTTGGCACGAGGTGAGGTTCAGGAGAATCGCAGCCTGCAATAGTTTCCAGCGGGCTGGCATTTCAAACAATCATGTCCTGACCACCACTGCCGCGCTCCCGTTAACCATGCGTGTGGAATGGCTGGATGCTTGAAGTCTCGATTGCAAGGGCAAGGAAAGCTTTAGCAAATGTGTTCCAAAGCCACGCAGCTAGGATTTAGCTGTCTTTTCCTGACCTGCAGTTGATTGCAATACTGCAGTAATGCACTTTCTTGACTATCACTCCTGGCCTCCACCAGGCTCAGGGCATGCTCGTCAACATGCTCTGGTGCCTGGAATAGAAAACTACACAATCAAGCAGGAAGTATGCCTTATGACTTATGACTCTCTTTGCATCATGTTCCCTCTGTCGACCTGGTTGGCTGCCAGAAGGACGCCCTCGATGACGCTAATGATCTCGCCCTCTACCTGGGTGCAGGCGGGCACGGCATTGGACTTCATTCAGCATGTTTTCGTCAATGCAGTAACCAGATGTAGAAAGTAGGGACTGCACGCATGCACCTGTGCAGAAAGACTTGGATGAGCAACTTGCTACAGCTCAAACCTGCTGTTTGCGTTGACATGTGCTGGCCTGCCACGAACTTTGGGCAGGCTGTGAGGTGCAAGACCTGGGCGTACAAACCGCGGCTTCCAGCTGCCAGCTCTCCAACAGCCACGCCCAGCAAGCGGCAATGACAAGAAGCTCCGGCAGGAAGGGTGGAAGCCTGCCATGACGTGTCTGGGACAGAACTCCCGCACTTGCGCTTTGCCACCTCATTGAACTTGGAAGGTAGCTTCCTTTTCCCTGCAGCTCACAGCTAATCAAGGACACAGTGCTAATGTTGGCAACTCGTCCTTGCCCACAGTGCCCAGCAAAGTCACAATGCCCTCAACTATGAATTCTACCTGCAGGTCTGAGCACATGACACAACCCCACGAGTTTGCAAGAACCGGCCTCACCCTGAGAACCTATGGCAGCCAGCATGTCTCTGAACACGTTCTGCGCAGATGCTCCTAGTTTCGGTTACAACTTCTCAACATTGCGCAGATGCTTTGCCTGAAAATGTCTGCCTTCTTCCTCCGGGATTGACCTTTGAGAAATCAAAAGCTCCTGCCGAGCTTTCTTGCCCATCCAGTTGGCCAAGACACGTTGACATGTACCTGCAGTATGGGTCCTGGGGGCGCCTGACTGCCACGCTTGGCAAGATGCTCATATCACCTGCACTGCTCAAGAATGCAGATGACCGTCCTATCCAAGCATTCATCCCTGCCTTTGCAAAGCGCAGCATCACGCACATCTTGCAGTAGAAGGCCCAGAGCCTCGTCGTTAACAAGGTTTTTTAGCCTTGAATACGCGCTCCTGCAAGGCACCTGAATGCACAAGTGCGCGAAGGCTTCCTGCTTGGCTCCCGCAAAGTAGCCTCCGTATGGCAACCCAAACCCGTGAGGGTCGTAGCCTCAGCTCCCAGAGACTCAAAACAAGAAGGGGGCCAGTGCCAGAAGCACAACAGGTAGAGCCAGGGTAGACACCTAATGCTACGGACATCAGCGAGTAGAACAGCTCTGCCCGGAAGGGCACAGTCCTCTCAGGCGCGTTATTATGGCTTGTTCATGGGCAAGAGTGAACTAGTACTACCTAGACTCTCCAAGGCTGAGGTCCTGCTTGGATCGCATAGATACGCAAGCGGCCGCGCATCAGGAATCAGAAGCCTCTACAACTCAGACAACTCATGCGAAGGTGGTGTGTAAGGCATGCCTGCTGTGCCTCGAAAGCCTTGCGTCAACAGTGGAGCCGTCATCACCCTTGGTGTCCTTCCAATCCCAACCGGCTTCAAACTACAGAAAAACCTTCTGGATGATAATTGCGTGCAAGCCTGGATGTCCACCGCAGAGGGAGCGCCGGCTGCGAGAAGTGCTAGCAGAAGTTGCAAACCAACAACCCTGGGGCGGGTTTCACTCACTTTGCGCAGCATCTGGCAGATGGTAAAGGGTATATGCTGGCTGACCTGTTTGCCTGCATGTCGCTGTTCTTTGGCTGGCTGGAACCCTCTGGTCCCACTCCTTCTTGCCTGGTTTGCAAATCCACACAACTTGGTGAGGTCCACACCTTAAGTCTCCTTAAGTGGTATGAAGCGCACCAGATGAGAGCGGGCACCACACCGTTGACATCCGGCACATCTTCAGCCTGCAACCATGCGGGTGCAGTATCTCCTGAATAACCTACCACTTTGCCTCAGACACATCTGGCTCTTCCACTGTGAAGCCATCGTGGAACCTGTTCGAACCATGTTCCGAGAGCCCACTCATCAACCTCCCTGAGCAAAAGAGCCGGCTGTGCAGCGCCAGCAGCGCAGAGTCAGCGATGCGCTCTCCCAGTGGCCGTGCTTCGTGTGATGCGTCTTGTACCTGAGGGTAGACCATACGACTTCTCAGAGATCGACGGTTCAGGCTGAGGGAGCACAGACCACAACCTTTCCACGAAGGACGCGCTGGCTGCTTTGCAAGCTGCCTTCTGCAGTGGCAGCTCCAGCTTCAAAAGCAAAGCAGAAGAATCGTTTTTTGTCACCTCTGCATCATCCCCGGAATTCTTCAGGCCTGCTCAGCTCTGCTCAGCTCTGCTCAAGGACTCTCTTCCCGGTGAACCATGCACGCCATAGCACGCCATGCACGTGCATACAAGCGGACTGCCTGTAGGCGCAGCTGGAAGCGCGGCAAGCAGATATGACATGACCTCCAGGCGCCAATGTTCATAAGCTGATGTGCCGAAAGCCTCCAGTAGGCTGGCGACGAAGAGTGCATTCGCGAGGACCGTCTCAGCTGCCTCGTCGACGTCATCGGCCTCAGAAGTGAGCAAATGCATCCTTCCTGACAGGTTTACCGTTGCCAGCCTTCTTGGCCAATTCGGTCTCTACGGTCTCGAGGCAACGTACGATCAAAGCATGAAAATTGTCAGGACCTTGCAGGATAGCAGCATACAAGACTTGAAGGGTGGAAAGAACACTGAGAACATGTAGGGTCTGGGCAACGGCTTAAACAAGCCACAAGCGACTCTCGCCTGATGTTCCGCGCGAATGCACATCTGGTTGCGCATGGGTTTCACTAAATGATGCGAGCCTGGGATGATTCTCCAGCTCTTCCTGGCCATCATGCGTCCATGCTTTGGGACTCTAATCACTGAGCTTGCTCGCATCAAACTTGCAAAGGGGCGGCACTCAAACGATGAAAACTGTGCATTAAGTAACAAATCCTGACATGACAGCTTAGCAGACTTTCCCACAACACCAAATATGCCTCCAAGTTGTTCAAACTCAGCAGGCGCTCCCAGAGCTGGGACGAGACTCCAGAACCTTCTCTCATGGACCGGTCACGGCACATGATAAAGACACAGTTGCACCATGTCGCGCCTAGAAGTTCCGAAGCGAGCTCCTTTACAACTGCAGGGATGCAATCAAGGAAGACTGCCGCATCCGTGCTCCTCCAAGATATCACCGGCGGAAGCTTTGCCACCGATGAATCCCAAGAATCGCCTGCTGATTGCCAGAACAACTTGACCTGCAGAGAAGCAACAAATGGCACTGGCCTCATCGCGTTTTGAGCAACGCCACGCAAGGACGATGCATCAGAACAAAGCTGACGTGGGCCGCTTGTTCTTTCTTTGTTTCTCGAAATCTGATGGAAATGAAGTACACGTTTTTGGATCACGAACTTCAGGCTTCAATACCTAACCCATGTTCATGTGGTCTGCCAAACCTCCTCGCCGGTGCAACATGAGCCTGAACCCTTTCACCGGCGCAGCTCCATGTCACTTACACCTCTGCAAACTGCTTTCAGCCCGTGGTGCAGGAGGCTCTGCCACAAGCATCGGCTCAACTTTTTGCCGAGACTTTTGCTGCACGTGTTCGGCCCGGCAGACTGCACTGCCGCGGCCATGGAGTAATCTCCCCACATGGCAACCACACTGCATCCAAGTAAGTTCTGTGGTTACATGCTTGGTGTTGTTGTACATGACACGACGCATGGATCATGCGCATGAAACCTTTAGCATCAGACTGCGCTGGAATTTCCGCTCAGCACTGACGCAGCGACTGTTGTGACGACGATGGTAACCTTCAAAGTCATTGGCTCTGCTAGGCAAAATCAGCGGCTCCTGGCCCACCTCCTCTTGAACGCTTACGCTCACGAGTGCCGCCTTCGGCCAAGACGGGAGCAGCAGCCAGCCTCGGTCCACAAGTGCTGACCTTGCCTTAGCTGAGATGCCAACTCAAGCCAGTTGACACACAGCTGCTTGTAGGACGGGTAGCACCTGAGTGTGAAAGCAATCGACGTGGCGGCTGCTGTATCATACTATCAGCAGACCCGCCTTGATGCACATCTGGTGCATGTCTGTTACACATTCCTGACCATGCGACGGCTGCCTGACAAGCGCGGGCTGTCTAGCTTTGTTTGTTTCACTTGTTGTGGATTGATTCGATTTGGGGTTGACGGACGGCGCTCCCGCGCTGTAGTACTCCAGGGGCTCTCCTTTGCAGCTTCAGCTTTGGCTTGAAACAGGAGACGTCCTATGGGCCAAGGGCTCCCCAGTCTTGCTTGCTAACAGCCCAAGACAGCTAGGAAAAGAAAACTGCACATTTCCCTGACTCCTCAAAGTCTCCTGTAAGGGATTCCCTTTTTTTTGTTTTAATGAGGTGTATTATGGACATAGGGCCTATGAAGTGACATAAAGCAAAGTCTCATAGGGTCCTCATGCCTGTATACACCGCTGTAAGCAGCAAGAAGTAAAGAATGAAAACACCCCCAACAAGACTGTGATGATTTCTACTTCTTCTAGAAGTTCTGCGCTCCCGCGAGGATCAGAGCCCAGGCGGTCCGCGCGTGCTGGCGGTAAGTTAAGGTCCAGGAAGCTGTACATAAACCAGGCTAACACGAAGAATCAGTTCAGGCTTATGGACTACTCCATTCAATCCAACCACAGAAAGAACTTGAGGTTGATACCTGAATGCAACACTGCCTGCAGTATGAACCTGTCCACAAGTCTAGGACAGGTAGCCAAGGTTATCTTGCAGGTGCTCTCGCTCTTTCTCTCTCTGCATAGCCGTAGCCAGGGCCAAGACATCCGAGCGAGCCGCCTCAAGGCCTCCACGCACACGGCTCTGAAGCAGCAAAACATGAGGTGCGGTCTAAATTCTTCGTGTTTTGCTGGCACATTCGATTCTCGTGAGCGAGCTATCGTTTTCCAAGCTTTGGTGGTGGGCCGTTTGTTCTCCTTGTTAGTATAAGTTAGATACTCCAAGGGCCGTCTCCGGCAACCGGATGGATTTTCGTGCTCTGGTAGTACAACTTTAGTACTGGAACGGCTGTCTCCGGCAACGGGATGGATTTTTGTTCCCTGGTAGTACAACTTAATACTGGAACGGCCGTCTCCAGTAACCGGATGGATTGTCGTTCTCTATTAATACAACTTTAGTACCAGGATGGTTTTCGGAAATTTTGACCTATCGTTTTTGGTGAGCGGCCTGTCGATTTCCAACCCAAAATGGTGTTTCCAAATCTTCCTGTCGCTGCCCTTATTGCCCTAATTAGACTTCAATAAAAAAGACCGCGCTTCATAAAGGGATAGACACATGCAGAGCAACTCCATGAAGAAGCTACAGCTGGCACAGCCTGCCAGAGCGCGATGCCGCAGGTCAGGTGCAGACCCCCGACCAGCAAGCTGTAAAAGAAGCCTCGTGGCTGCAAGTTACGGACGGCAGAAAAGGCCACAGAATCTTGTAGGCCTGATGGTCTGCGGCCATGTCCGGCAAGGAGGCCGAGTCCCAGATGCAGAGACAAGTAGAAAAACTTGTACCTTGCAAAGGCAAAAGATTCTTCTGATTTGCAAATTTACAGTCAACACCAAACAGGATGGCTCGGCCCAAGCAATGCCAGCAGGTCTAGCGTCGGTGTGTTAACCTCACATTCAAAGTTACTCTATCAGCTCAACGAGTTTCATGTCATTCATACTGCTGGCATGCCACAGCTCCAGCCATGAAGAGGGCTCCCTTCATCACTGCCATCTCAACCACCAGGATCACCTTGCAGCCAACTAACAACGCTGTGACAACACGTGACAACACCTTGCCAGCACTTGGAATCCTTGAGTTCTCAGTTACTGGCCAAAGCTGAGCTGATCGTTGCGGACAGCACTTCAGGAGCAAACGTCTCCTGCACACCCCACGTCACAATTCACATGACTTGACAGGTGTACCCACGCCGCCTGAATACCCCGCACAACGCCACAAAGCACAACCTTGTGCTGGTGTGGTAGCTGCATGGCATGCATCTTCGCCTGAGGTCTAACTTCTGAGGCCGAAGCATAAGTGACAAAGCCCATCGTTGGGATGTAGAGGTCAGGCTCCTCGTTTCAGAAGGGTCTTAGAGATGCAGGCTCGGCTTCGGCAGGATGTCCATCTCACGAGCAAAGTGTTCAGGAGCTAAACTTGATTCCGACCAAACAATGCCACGGTCGCTCCTTACCATCCCTTACCAGGTTCTCCCGTGTGCGACAAGACTTTCACGTACCCCGCATCTTTGGAGTAGCTGAAGGGTTCTCTTGACACATGTAACGAGGCACCACTGAAGCAAAGACTCGCCGACTACTCAATTCGCGTGTGTCGCTGAGAAGCGTCCCAAAATTGAACCACAAAATGTTGCCCTCTTCAAATTTCACCTGCCACCCAAGGACAACAATCTACGGCGGGTAGAAATGCAAGAGCCCCTCCCATCCAGAACCAAAACTTAATCGAACCAAAGTCGGTCAAAGTCGTCGTTCTTCCCAGGGGAAACAGTACAAAAGTTCGATCATAGGGAGCTCTGGCAGGGTGCCCCCCAAACAAAGGACCAAACAAAACCCTGAAGGCATCCCTTGCACTGGGTTCTACGGGTATGGATTGTTTGGGAAGCTGCAGCGGAACAATGCATGGCAATCTTATTGTGTGGGACGCAGCAGAGACACGAACACATCCATACCGACTGATGTTTCTGGGAAGTCACTGGTTGAGAGACTTGCAAACAGAGCCTGAACTAAACAAAGCAAGCAAGAGAGAAACTCACCGCGTACGTGAGGTCTCGAAGGTCACGGACAGCTGGCGTAAGGAAGAAATGAGATGCGGAATGTGAAAAAGAAAAGTCCACGCAAGGCCCGATGCCGCTGATCCTCAATGTCAACTTCAAGGCCGTCGATGGTACGAACTGTCCAGTCCTGAAAAGAAAGAGAGTGCAAATGATATTTAGCATACGAGCATAGGATACCCGGCTCGGTTTGTGTAGAACCGCTTACTGTGTATTGTTCTTGCTTGCCAGGGAAAGTCCCACTGTTTTCGCTGGCTGCTCCTTGTGACCTCCAAGTTCGCCATCTGTAGACTTCTTCTTCGTGCTGCAGCAGGTAAAGTCTGGTGCGCTCAAGCTGAGAGATGAAAACGCAATAGCCGCACGGTGAACAACCAGTTGTTTTTCACTGACGCTTCCTCCTCCGTAAAAGAAACCGTCAAGCATTAACTCTCGCTGTGAAAACGATGGTGGATGCTGTTTGGCAAACACCTTGAACCTGTTAAGCACAGGCATGTCACGTTTTGTGACATCCTTCAACTATCTCGAAAGACAAGACATACAACACCCAATCGCGAATGCTCCGGCACGGGATGGGGAAGTCATAGCAATGGCTTCTCCGCACCTTTGGCCGGGCTGAAATATCATCAGAGAGCCATCTTCTTGGAATGTCAAGGCCTCGGCTCGGCGACCGCGCCTTCGGAGAAGCAACAGGTCGGACAAGTGTATGCAGTGGTGAGGACGAGTTCACTTTACCTGACCGACTGTTTCACCTGAAAGGTTAATGTCCTGCTGCAACGAAAGCATGAAACGCCGTTGCTTAGGCAGCATTCCCTTAGCGGGCTTCAAAGGGAGGGAAATCGCTTGCCTGGCCAGCTTTGTAGGAAGTCGTGGCATCCCCTGCCGACTAAAAAGCGTTCAACCCTAACCAGCTGAATAAGCTTCCCGCACCTGAAAATGCGGAACCACAGCAGCCACAACACCGGCCTTGCGGGCAGTTTTAGCTCATGCTCTTGCATCTGAATGGTTGATCTGCAAAACTAATGACAGAGTGGTTGGCCGCGCTCGGGATGGCTATCACAGGCAACAATCTTACTGCCCACATCTACCCACAACTGTTTGGGTCTCTGCAGCAGGTCAGGAAGCCGCGACTGTTATTCAACTGCACAAAAAATGTCAGAGAAGCATTCATCTGTTTGACTCTGCTGGGTCAGGCATGGTAAGGCAGCAACAAGACAGAAACGCTGCCCACAGGAAGAGAGCCACCAGCGTTCCACGCACCTCAGAAGACAGCTGGCTTGAATTGCGAGCATGGCTCGCTGTGAAGTCACCTTGTTAAGTATGGCTGAGAGTGCGCCGATCACCTCATAGACATGGCATCATTACCAGGGGGCTGACGCACAGGAGCAGGATCTGGCCAACCTGAGCGCAAGAGGCTAAAAGATAAGCCAAATGTCATGTTGGCAAGGTTCAGATTTCATCGTCTAGATATTTTCGCTCCACCAAATACATGACATGTGACCTGCGCGCTGCAGTTTGAGTACTCCAGGTGCTTCTCGCAAAGCCTGCCAAAGAATGCAGAAGAAGGTTGGGTCGCATCTTGGCAAGCTGCAGCTGCCGACCATCCCAAAGCAAGAAGAGTCAGCAACCAAAGCACCGGCCTGGAACAGAAGATGTCCAGGTTTGAACCATGTGTCCAACAGGACTGACTTTCATCTGAGGTGCAGGCATGACTGCTCCGCGGGTGCCCGCAACAGCCAACCCGAAAGCCACAGACAGAAACTCAGGAAACAGAAAAGGCACTGGGCACACGTGTCACATCAGCTAAGCACCGTAAGCCCAGGGCCAAACTTGCCTCGTGCAGCTCATCGCCAAAGTACATTTTGTACGCCTCCGCAGCCTAGCCATCAGCAAACCAGGCAATCAAGTGGTCATCAAGCCCCGAATCTCCTCTTAGAGACAGGCTGGAGGGAAGGGACATAGACGTTGAACCTTTCGTCTTACGATCAGCTTCAGATTTGCAGCAGTGCACCCTGCTGAGCTCGCCACGATATAGTCACACAATAGCCACACCAGGGTACCTGTCTCAACGCCATGGCGAAAGCTATTGCTGCAGGTAGGACATGGAGGATCCATTCTGCGCACATGCTAGAACAAGCATGCGGTCTGATACGGCCGTCAGCTCCACTTCCTTGGCACGGTCAGCTTGGCTTTCCAAATTCGAGGCGAACATCTTTGCTTCCCTCGGGTTTGCGCAGCAGTGTGGAGAAAGGCCAGGTCAGCCTCAAACGGCATAAGGGAAGACATGAAGGAAGACCGCCATGACTGCTTCACCGCTCCCCACCTCCCCGAGTTCAACTGCCATGGCTTCAGTGGCTCAGCATCCCAAACAGCGTTTTGTACGGAAACATTTCCAGTTGCACCTGTCGTGACTCTTGACTCCTTGGAACAGATGTGTGTCCTGGCTGGGGCTGTGTTTTTGCTGCAGTTTCAGAGCCAACTGCCACGGGATGCCGCGCACGAGGCTGAAGGCTAAAGATGGCTGAAGCCAGGGCAGAAACCTTTTTTGAGGCACGCTAGCAGTTCACGAAAACGACAAATCTCAAATGCGTTCCAACCTGTGCCAAGCGCGGATAGTCAAGGCGTGCAAGTACTTTCTTGCGAATAACAAGAATTTGCCTGATCACGTCCGGTCCTTGCCTGAGATGCAATTAGTTGCACTCAGCCACATCCTTTGCGCCAACCCAAGCTCGTGACATAATGCGGGTTTTCGCGAATCTCGGCTACGTATCCATTCTCCTGAACAGGCTCACAAGACTTGCCGTTGTCCACACCAGCATGTATACATCTGCAGCTAGATGTTCACTGCGAGTAAACTGCGGCAGCATGCTGATCGGCAAATCCTACATCTCATGCATCTTCTGATTGGAGTTTTGCGGTCTTACAACTAATGCTCAGCATCCCAGAATGTCTCTGCATGGCTGCTACGTGGGTTTTTCAACCATGCTTGGTTGACGTGAAAGAGCACCCTTTGTAGTGTGTTGCGGCTGCATCTTGAAGACTCAGATGCCATTTTTCAAACATGCGCAAGTAGAGATGGTTCTCAAGCCTCCTAACTTAATGCTATTCTGCCACGAGCATGCAAACGACTCCTTGCAGATTGTCTGCACCATTTTCGCCTTCCCACCGCAACACGCAGGGGCAAAAAAATGATTTAACTGAAAAGCGACTCCGCGCCCAGAACCTCGAAAGAGTAGAAAGTGGCGAAGATGCACTTGCCGCCCGGCAAGCAACTGGCAGCAGCACCATGTGAATCACATCAACTTTCTCTACTGACAAGTTTTAAAAATTATTACCTATTACGTCAACTTGAACGAGATCATCCCCTTCCCGTCTCGAATGCCAGCGCCTTCTCAAAACCTGGCAGCTTTGCATGACTTCGGATGATACGAAACGTCCACACAGCCATGCAAAATCTAGCCGAGATGCATTGGCCATGATGCGCCTCCAAAGGGCTTCACAGCCTACGCCCATCACGAGTGGGTGTATACCTGCACAGACAGGTGCTTGAGGTCATCCAGCATGTTCAGTAGACATCGTTCTAGTGCATGGCCTAAGACCAGCCCAAAGTGAGCAACAGGCAGCTGCTCAGTTGCCAAATCCTGCAGCAAGATCAATTAACTCAGAAGCCTGCCACACTTAGGTACTGTAGCATGCCTGCTGCTGAAAGCTCAAGCTGTCTCCATGGATGTTCAATGCCCACTCCTGAGGCACAAATCAGAATCATCTTTCAGGTGTGGTGCGCACCTAGCATTTCTGAAGCTCTGGAGCTCATTATGTAGCAAGACAGTCCATGCTCACCCGGCACTCCTCCCACGCTGGCCACCAATATGCCGCCGGACTTCAGGGGTCAAAGGTCTCTTACAACTGCAAGAACTGCTGGACTTTGGCCTATCATCAATGTCGGATGCAGAGAGCTGCAGCGTACAGCCACTTTGCCTATACAACCGAGGACTGATGCATCAAAAACGGTACTGGGCAAAGCTTCAGGACCCCTGCTTTTTCAAGTGTGACTTGAGGAATGGCAGCAGTCGAGGTGCCTTGCAACACACAATCTGGTTACATGACACAGCCAACTGGCACCCACCTCAGAGAGAGAGCCACAGAATGGGATGCAAATCCTGAAAGAACAGAAAAAACTTTCAAAAGAATGTGTGCGGCATCTAGACAATCAATGGCCTGAAGATTGGCAGGCCGTCACCGTGCTCAACGCAAGGGATGTCCTTCTAGCATCAACCGGACACAAAGGCCAAGGCTTGAGGGACCGATTAACGATGCGTCCTGAAGCAGACCCCATGACAGGATGGCGTTCAAGAAGCCCGCGTAGGCCTGTCAGTCAAACATCCAATTTCAATTTGTGGGGCCTCTGATGCAAGGAATAGAGGATGAGACGCAGGAAAACTTTGCAGGCGCTTTGCTGGAACGCAGTAGGAAAGAAGACTGGGCCTGGTCACGCTCGTTTGGTTTTTGGCGGGATTCCTGCAGATCCGAAAAATCACCAGCATGAGGCAACACAACCCAGGTTGCCACCTCAATGGCCGCAACGAACCGTGCCAGCGAGGCTCCTCCAGATTGCCACCTGCTGATCAGCTAATCGGTGTGCGCTGCAGTAACTCTGAATAACATGGCATTGTCACAAGTTGCCAGCGCATCATGACAGCACTATGACTAAGCATTGCTGTTGTATGGGCCCGGCCTTCGGGTTTGCTTCGGCAGCGTCTGCACCGCTTGACCAGGACAAGGCCCATTTGGAGGAAGCACCGGCATCACGCGCACAGGTTGCAGCACGGGTGTAGTAAGGCGGGGCATCGCAAATACCATTGGCTGGTGAGGCTGAGCAGAAGCTGTCGAATGGTATCCGTACAAACAAGAGGTGCCCGGTTGCATCGATGCATGGACGGTATTGGAGATCGGCACGTGTCCTCTGATGTGTGCGCATTGCGGGACATGCGCATCTGAAAATTTTAGCTTATACCCAAGCACATTCTCTCCCTGCAGTCCTCTGCCGACTGCATAAGATGGCACAGACACCTACCAGAGGCTCTCAGGGCAGATTAGAAGCACAGGAGGGCGGACTGAGGATGCAGCCATTGCAGATTGCTCCCAGCACCGTGCAGCTGTCTACATCTCGTGCTCGAGCCACCAGACTAGGGAGGAAAGCCGCACTCCGTGATGGAGTACCATCCCACGTGAAGCAGAACTGAGAAGTCTTAGCCCCATGTCCCAGTAGTCGGCAGCTCCTTAAGAAGAGGACCTTACAGCGACATGGCCGGACAATAGCTTGGCCATGCCGTTCTCTAAACCCTGCAGCCTGGAACCGCAAGATTCTCAGCAGTTACAGCTGTTGGAGGATTTAGCGGCCTTGCTAGCCACCTTGTTAGAAACAGTTGTATTTATGCAGCAGGTCATACAGCAAGGTTCCCCGATGGCTTTTGCTAAAAAGCTGACTCTGAAGATATGCCAGCGGGACTTGGCCTGTGGAACGGCATCAGCTGCCAGAGCATCTTTCGCAGCACATAGCCATGATTGACCTTGGACGGCCACATGCTGCGCCATGTGAAGGGGCGTAATGGGTCTCCAGGCCCCAAGCGTTGAAATAGCGCCGAGCTATTTGGACGAATTGCGGCCACAAGCTCAGCGAACCTGACCATGAGAAAATTGCATCTGGCCATCCCGTGCATAGGCCTCTGTCCCCTGCCCAAGAGTGAAACTAATCATGCCGAGCTCACTTGATGTCAGTTCCCGCGCAAACTGATTCATCATTGCGCTCGTCACAGCATCGGAGATGTTGGGAGCCTTGCATTGCCCCCACATTGCCGCTTCAGGAAGTAAGCTCTGCAACTATTGAAAGCGTCGCCTCTTCATCTTGCAACTTAAAGAGCTTTGGTGTTGTAGCAACGAGGAAGGCGCTGCAGGTCTGGCCTGCACTTCCGCCCTGCCGGAGCTTGGCCGAGCCATGCTTCCGCCTGGTGCCCCACGGGTGCCAACGTCCTTGTGGAAAAGCAATTCCAACCTCTCTCTGCCGTTCTCTGACACCAGGCAGGGTCCTCCCATCCCAAATCTTTATCTGTCCCATCCATGGCTTCGAGACTTTAACTCAAGCGACTGAGAAATCGCTGGAGCAAAGTGAGTCTGTTTGCTTAGCTTGGTGGCTCTGGTGGCTCGGGAGCGTCTACATGGGTTGGAGTTCCAAAAGGCTTCTGAACATAGTTGCACTGCCTATTCCCACAAAATTAATTCTGGTCCTTGCACAGATGGCTTTCCCTATGCAAGGAATGCTGGTGCTGAAGGCAGCTTGATCTGCAAATAACTCCAGACCCGTGCGTGCAGAGCGTTATTGGATTTAAAGGCAGAAAGCCTTAACATGGGCCACACATTGTCATGGCGCAGATGGAGCATTACAATATCCCAGCTGCAAACTGCATGGCCGCCTGTTTCAACCACAAAACCAGAAAACCCCACATGGCTCCTGCAGTCGCATTTTGCCAGATGACTGGAGGTCAGTTGCAAATCACTCCTGCTGTCTTGAACAGAACCAGGCAGGACCTTGTTGGCAGTCGATCCCGTCAACTGGACTTTTGAAAGCAGGGCCGATGCATCTCTGTACTCCACGGCACCAGCCAACTACCATACTACCAAGCGCTGCGTGCATAAAAGCAAAAGGGTAATGTCACTATCTGGCCGAATGAATGCAGTGCCGGCATCTTCTCCTGCCTCACTCTTGGGGCAGCAGAGCGTACATTAGCAATCGACACATGCGGCTGTCAGGAATCTTGTACAAGTATTCTGACCACGCGCGTGACGTCTCCCTCACAAGCAACCAGAAGTTCTCGAAGCAACACCTGCTGTGAAAAAAGTTATCACGGTTCGTCCGCTGAACAACTACACATGCTTGCAGGCATGATTTCCGCCCAGGCATATGAAAGCTTGGTAGTGCCTACTTGTTCTTAGCAAGGCTCAGGCTTACTGACAAACATGTGTAAGATGATTTTCCCCTGCTGCGAACACAACAGTCTCGGCCAAAAGGGTGTTCTTCCGCAGGCACCACGGCTGTGATGCCAGCATTGTTCACCAGCTTGGCATTGAATGCCAGCGCTTGCTTTGGCAAGTCTTGCTCAGGCCTACGGGTTTACCAACATAGAATCCACCCCCGAAATGCCGAGATAGACTTGAATATGGCAAGGTAAGACTGAACGCATGTCAAGGGCAAGAGCAGGACCTCATCACTTGCAAGCCGCAGCTCGCGCAGGGTGGCAAGCTTCTTCTCAAACCTCAAACGAGGTTGACTATCCACACACCACCAGA